CATCAAGATTAACGTTAACCCCCCGAAGCTCCCAGATTGTCAGAGGATGGTGGGAGTAGGTTACCCATTGGAGGATCTTTTGAGCCCAAGGCTGTCTCCATGCAGGCACCGAATGCATGATTACTGTGAGGATATGTTCTGGAGTGACAACCGACAGATTTCGCAAAATTTCTTTCAAGCATGATTTTGTTGTTGAATGAGGCTTAAACCTAAGCCAGTCTAAAATCAAATGACACACGTAGTCTTCGTTAGCTTGACTGAGTATCTCTCTTAGCGAAGCTTCGAGACCACAATACTTTGGGCGCTCCTGAAACAATCGTAATAATGCATGTGCTACTGCAGATGGTGCTTTCAGCTGAGGAGTTGAATTGGACTTGTGTTGATCCATATTTATAGTTAAACATTTGGACAGAATTGGCTGATGGATTTTGCTCGTGACAATAACCTTGAATGGAGTTTCAGAAGTTTTGGAAATAAATGCGAGATTGGCCAAAAACCACCCACAATCTTCTTCGCACTCGTCTATTCCGTTGATAATGAACCTCACATTGTCTATCGAATCTCCGATGCGCAGAAAATATATGAAATTTAGTAGATGTTGATTGGTCCAGCTATGGAAATTCAGGAATCTTTCAAGATTGTTGTTAAGGCCAGGAGAGCACTCGCGATAGTGACTAATTAATTGTGCCAAGAACGTGTAGAACATAGACTTTAAATTGTTGTACCGTGAGTCATGCTTTCTGAATGCAAAATAAAGAACAGAGGTGTCGGTTGGTGCATCTTTCCAGGATTCAATTTGCTGTGTAAGGAACTTCGTAAACCGAGAAACATCAAAATTGCCATGCATATGGAGAATATTCGAATTTTTGGCGCTCAACCATTCTTGGAAATTTGTATTTCCAGCAATCCAGGTTAGATCCTCAGAGATCGAGAGATCGTCAGCCACACTGGGAGAGTATACGGGAGAAGCTTGTGATAGCATAATTTTCAGACAACGAGAAAGAGGAGAATCAAAATCCGGAGAATACGAAATGAAATCAAGAACACCTTCAGAAATCTGGCTGTGATCCTTTGAGCTACAAGGAAGTTCTTTTTCAGGACGATCAATCCCTATTCGTCGTTCAAAGGGAACATCCATCGTTGACATAAACTCGTCAAATACCTATATGATTAGCCAACTGTTCTTGAGTGGAGTTCTTGGATAACAAAACTGATGTAGAGCCTAACTTACTTGCAATACATGATCCGTGGACGAGGAGAAGACGTTTATCAGTCGGATATGAATGATTACTTTAGAATAGACAAACAAGCTGTTGATATCAACAATTGCTCGGGAAAGTCCGTTGACAGCGGCCATGAAGTTCTGTAGATGCGATCCGCCATTTTTTAAAAACAATTTAGCAATAGATCTTTCCATATCCTCAAAGGATCGATGTCGATGTGGTGCACTAAAAGAGATCTAAAATTGATCAGCATTTTTTGATCTGGTGAGAGCCACAACTTCAGCTACCTACCATGGCTACAGTCGACGTTCTAATACTTTCATCATTTGAAAGATCAAAGCCAGCAAGAACGAGAGCCTAGTACGGATGTCAGATCGAACTATATTGAAGAAACTCAATTCATTTGATAGCACGGTGTCAGGTTCTTCGTTTACTGATGCTAACAGCGCTCATCAAGAATCAAGCTGGAGAAAAAATCTCTGGTCCTACCTGTTTGATAATAATGATACCCAAGTTATGTCCAACAAAAATAAGAGGACGTCTGGTGGCCTCCAATTCAGGAGCACCATCTGAACCGCCTTCGGTAACAGCCTAGATACGTAAGAACGGATTTTCAATATGTATCAATCTCTTAGACAAACATTTTCTGACACAACCGATTTCCTCAAATCTACAAGACTTTTCAAAAGCTTTGATGCCTCGTTAAGAATCCCCTTCCTGGTGTAAATGGTTTCTGCGATACCTTCTAGGTCATAGTCATATGTCATAACCCGCACATTAGTGTTTGGAAACAAGGCATCTTTGAACCACGTGCCCTCACCAGAAGGCTTTCCCCATGTATATCTAGAATCGCCTCCAAGACCGTGCACAGCGACAATACTGGTCAGATATATGGTAAGCAAATGACAACGGTGAGCCGGATACTTCAAAAACGTACTCATATTCCGCCGGTGTACTGGTGGATGCTTCACTGATTGTCAAGCCAAATATTTTTGGTGATGCGGCCACACTGGTGTCAGCCACATTTTCACCTGGGCAGTGAACTGCGACAGTCGTCTCTGACATTATTAATGGTAAAAATGGACTTCTCCGCCATTCAGTGTAATAATTAGATGAAGAAATTCAAAGATGGAAGAGGCGAACAACTTTGGGTGATGGAGCGTCTTTGTGGATGGTGCCTAGGTTACATTAGGCTCTCCTAATTGGGAGATCTTTGAGGCATCGAAGACTAGGTCGTGCAGATGAATGACGTGGATCCTTCAGAAACTGGGAGGCATTGAAAGCAACCTTTGCTTCGCGAATCATAAGATGATAGAAGATAAGCTTTCCCTTCTCAGCCTCGAGATTTTTCAATTTTTCTTTTCAATTTTCATGGCTACTCGCAGCAAAAAGCATTTCATTTTTAATAGAATGGCGTCAGAAATCGGAAGCTCTAGTCTCGGAGAGCCCAAGCTCCCATCCTTCGATATCGAAATGTTTTTAACAGGTGACGAGAACAGCGGCTTTCACACCAAAAATGATCCTTCCGATCCGTGGCAAAGGAAGAACATTATCAATCGAAAAGGGGCCATTGATATCAAGTGCACATGTGTGGACATTGTGCATGGGAAATTCGAGCAGAATAACAATACTTATGGTACCCTTCTCGTTCTTCTCTTACGAATTGACCCTCGAAAACGTTCACGTCGAGTAGCTAGCGCCAATATCTCACTTAAGTTCACAGGCATGAAGCCAGGTGGAGCTCGACCAGAGGTTGTGGCTATATCATTAGATGGACGATTTGGAATGGTGGAAACGACTCACAATGAGGAAACCAGCAAAGGAGGCAAAGTCAACGCAGGAGGAGGCGCTTTAGGTCTAGAAGCAAATGCGGAATTTACGTGGGAGAAGAAAACGATTGCTGACATAACTGATTCTACGACTATTGTTGGTTCTATCGATCTCATAGGATTTGATTATGGGCCCGATAACTGTGCTTCTTGGAGCTTGATAGAGAATGGCGCTCGAAAAACCGGTGTGCCGTCTTCGATACAAGTAGGGATTTTGCTGAAGCGGAAGCATAATGATCCTTTCAAGTGCATCGTGGAGGTCAAGGCCGAGGTGGATTTTATGAGTGGTCTAGAAAGGGTCTTCGGGGCAAAGGCGAAGGACGATCCTGTATTGTTCGATCCGAAATTGATGCCCACAAACAAAATGATGAATTATGAGATGGCTTTAGAGAACCTTTGCGATTTCGATCTAGATCTAGTCACCGATATCACATTTGTGACCCAGTTGAAACAGGAAGGTGTTGTGAAACAGAGATGAGCAACGATTTATAAGCAGCTTAGGATGGGAATTGAAATATGAAGGCTGATCAAGACGGATATGATCGTGAAAATGTTGAATTTATCATAGTTATGCATTCCAATAATGATCCAAACTGAACTTCCACTACTGATTCTCGAGTCAGCAGTCTAGTGGGCAGCGGTGGAGTCACGTGACAGTCCGAAACTATCAACAAAACTCGCAACTAATGCCATCACTGTAATTGATCTAGACATTTTCAAGTCTCTGCTTAATAAGTTGTTTGTGTGTTTTTTCTCCCACAGGATATTGTCAACTGTAAACTAGAATTTAAGATTTCTTAGACTTCTGGTTTCCTGATGTTTTGCATTGGAATAAATAGAATAAGCATGGATGGACAACAGTCTCATGCTCAATTGATGGGCTCTATCGTCCGGCTTTACTCATTCTTCATATGCCATTCTGATTACAGCTTGTGTCTGAAACGCTACATTAGTATAAAGTATTATATGTAGTAGTGAAAGAGTTTCAGAGTACAGTTTATAATTATTGGAAATCTGATTATAGGATTGTGATCGAGGATGGTGCCGGTGAGGGGGGGGTGGGGCAGAGGGGCAGAGGGGGTGCGCGGAGTGCGCTCTCTTGCTTCCTAGCGGGCCCCTCCGAATTTCGTGTTCTGTGTGCATTGCACACGATATCAACTATCTAGGTGGGCAGAGAAGATTATTCCATAAACTTTGTGCATAATCAGCAATTTTCTCGTGCACCTGATGAAAAGTTTAACGAATCAGAGAAAGAGGTTACAATTCCTACTTATAGCCGGCATCGATAGATCAGGGTTTTCTATGCGGCCCAAAATGACCCTTGCTTGGAAGGGGTGACGAATTGGGGGCGGGAACCATGAGGCTGGAGACTTTCAATCTCCGCAGGCCCTTTCAAAGGTTCAAGAAATGCACCTTCAAATGAACAAATTCCAAGCCTATAAATTGGACAGCCTACAATATGACTGCAGAACTATCTGAATCGACGGAAAAAGAGCGTCCATTGACACGAAAATCAACCGGGGATAATGGGCGTCGTATCCTGAATGTTGACAATTCAGACGACTCTGAAGACGAGGAAGAGGTGGAAGATGATGACTATGATGATATTCCTATCGCGCAAGATCCAGTAAAGACGGCCTTCGATGAGATTTTACAAATTATCAAATCTGGGAAACTCAAATTAGGCAAGAGAGAGGAGCGCAAGAAGTTTTTCGACAAGTACAGCAGGTATATAGAAAAACTAGTCGACGATAACAAAAATCTCTTACATGTTTTAGCATATTGGGATGGACCTACTAATAGCTCTACGAAGTCACTCATCTCGAAACTGACGGCCAAGTATCCTGAAGAGTACTCGAGGCTTCTAGTGAGTAGGGATTATACTGGGAGCGAGAGCAATCCATTGTACGCAGCTATTTCGAGAAAGGATGCTAAACTCGTAGCATACATGTGCGAAAACAAAGATAAATCGCCCACAGTCCAAGATGCCCTTGTAGACGCACTGGGGATGCAATGCAGCGAGCGCTCAGAAAACTGCTTAACCGCGGCCATTCGACATAAGTTACCAGTGGATATCATTTTAAATCTAATCGAGAAAACGACGGAAAATGCGCTGAAAGCGCAAGACTCAAAAGGATTCACTCCTCTCCATTATGCGGTTGAATACGAGCGTTGCACGCATTCCCAGTTTGAGATTATTCGTAGGCTGATTGAGTGTGGCGATTCTGCTTTGGATAAGCTAGGAAACAAGCCCGACTATTTCTCAGTATATGGATATCATGAAAGTACCCGGGAAAAATACATTTCTTCCAAAAAGAGCGGGAAAATTACTGGTGAGCGACTAGCAGAATGGACGCCGCCAACGAAAGAGACGGTTCTGCCGCAGCCGAAAATTCCCAAGGAATATGATGGCCCAAAACAAATGGCTCCGTTGCCAAACGAGAGAAGGACCAGAGAAGATCTTGCCTTCAAATGGCGTGGCACAAATTTAACTACCGAAACAAATGGAAAACCAATTCAGATGCAAAACACACCGTTACAAACAAACCAGGTCCCGAATGTAACTGTATCAGCTGACTTGAAAGTTTCATCGACTATGCCTGCGCATATCTCGAATACTGAGGTGTCCAGAGAGAGCTCCAAGATGAGGTCTGGGAAGGTGGAAGAGCAAGCCGTCACAGAAGAAAGTGCTGAAAAGATTCGGGAGATGTTGCACTTACACTACTTGCGAACGAGGAGTCCGGAAACTGCAGCCAGTCGTCTCTATGGAAAAAGTACAAAAGGTATTTATATTCTTGAATTTCTTGTTTTTCAATCAAACTTCGCTCAAGCACACCTCCAATTATCTAAGTTAAAACACAACAACAAAGTTTTATTTTCTTAGTCTTTTGGAACAGAAAGATGGTCTTCAAAAATTTGTAGCTTTCCAAATATTGCAGGCTTTTGTTGAATCGGCTTGTCCACCATATGAATACATCACTTGTGTTACATGAAACTGACATAGACTATAGCAAGACACATTTGCTTCGATTATCTAGGGGCTCCATTGAAAATTGACCCCGAAGAGTTCATTGAGAGTTTTGAGCATGTAAAGCTGGATACGGTATTACAATATGTTGCTTTTCCAAATGTTCGAGTACATCCGGCACCAGACTATCCGTATGCTTTGGATAAATCTACTGGGGATGGCAATGGACGCTGTGATATGATGTTTTTTTTTCAATGGTTGAAAGATAAAGGAGTAAAACGTATCCTAAAGGTCATTGTCGACGACTCTAACACACCCGCCCATAGCGACGAAGCGATCGAAAAGGCTCTTCAAGGATATGATGTCGAAATTTTGGATTGGCGCAAGGTTGACCTTTGCCCAGAGACAATATGGACATCGAGTAAGAAATTAAGGGAGGTTCATCTCCAATGGAGTGGAAACAACGCTGTGCTTAGAGGCTGGAGCGAGCCAGAAGGACTGAGAAGGTTGGAGGATTTGACAAAGGTTCATCTTCATGTCAAACAGGTTAGCCTTCCCTTATCCTACTTTCTCGAATCGCAAGATTATTAAGCTGCATGTGTGTAGGATCTGGAAAGCCACAGTCGCATGCAAAAGAAGATTGATAGCTTCTGCGATCGACTTAATAGTAGCACATCGAGTGCTGAACAGCAGAGAACTTTTTCATTACCTGTTGAACAGCCAGTGCCACACTCTATTCAGCCTAGGATCATCCAGGTAAAGCGTAGTGATGAAGATGGCCAAAATAGACGACTACTCACCATGAGTTTCGCAGCCTCCGAGATGAAGCAAGAACACGTCCTACAACCTCATAGATGGCTCAATTGTATGGATGAATTCAAAGATGTGTTCCAAAACGTCTGGTCCTGGACGGTGAAACAAAAACTTCAGCAACAGGAAGCTCTCAAGCAGCCCGTAGAAATCGCACTAATAGATGACGGTGTAGACGTTCTTCAGTCTCGACTTCGCGGCAAAATATCTGACGGCAAAAGCTTCGATTATGGAGACAAGGATGCTAACCGCATACGGTCGCATTGGATCTCGGAAAGAGGTCATGGCACTGTGATGGCTAAGAACATCGTCCGCATATGCCCAATGGCCAAGATCTATGTGATCAAGCTTGAAACACATTTCGACCACAAAGAGCAGAAGGCCAGAATCGGGGCAAGAAGTGCTGCAGAGGTGAGATCAACTATGTGTTCCCATGACTACAATCAAACTTAATTACACGTGCTGATTCATGGTTTAATACAGGCAATCGATGCGGCAGTAGATCGTAAAGTGCAAATAATTTCAATGTCATGGACAATCAAGCAACCCGATAGCAATAGCGAGGAGAAAGAAAAATTTGACTCGGCAGTGCGCCGTGCTGTCAAAGCAGGGATTCTTCTGTTCTGTTCTGCAGCCGACAAAGGATTGCATCAAGACAACGATTATCCCGCCGCCTCTAATCCCACCAAAATGTTTAAGATAGGCGCTGCAAAACCCAACGGCAATGTTTGGGACTGGGTGCCGAACATAAGACACTTGGACTTTATTATCCCCGGCTACGAAGTCGCAGAAAATGCTTCGCTCGATGATGACTCCAGCCAGAACTTTCAGCCACAGACCGGGTCCTCCGTTGCAACTGCTCTAGGTGCTGGCCTTGCTGCTCTTGTAATTTGCTGCGTGCAACTAGCTTCAATACATACGCAAATGTCTCGGCAAAAGGGTCATCCAGATGCACCAAGCTCTTTGACCCTTGATGATCTTCGACATGTCAAAAACCATGAGAATATGAAAGCTGCCCTTAGAATCATTGGCACTAGCCCAGATAGCGACAATAAGTTTATTGAGGTATGGAGACTGTTTGACAAGGCAGCTAAAGATATGGCTGGAAAGGACAAAGAGCAACAGTTAGGGGTGATAGTGGCATTGGCTTATAAGTTCAGGACTTATTGATAATTTCATTGGGCGCTGTAAACGGAACCCACATGTTTCTCCATTACATCGTATTCTCCCTCTAAGTGGTCAGAAATTTCCTTAATGTTACCTATGTAAGAGTTCCGCACTTAGGAGTTCAATATGTTCATATTTAGTTGGTTTTCTAGTGACTTGAATTACCCTGTTAAATACTAAATCATTTCAACAGTTCAAAAATTTATAAAACCGCTTAATATTTTCTTCAAGCGAGGCATGAAATGCAATGGCTAATTTTCTTTAAAAGAGATGATGTTCTCAAAATAGCTTTGTACAACGAAAACGATAATATTCAGGCAAATGTTGTCTGAAATGTCATCTTTTTATATTGGTAAGATCTTACTATCTATCACTGCCTAGGGATCTGAGAACTACTGGGAAGGGAGGGAAAGCCAGAGCTCGTCAAACAGATTGATGACTATTCAACCTATGTTAGCAGTTCCGAACCCGAGTTAATGTCAATGGAACATTGTTCTCGAAGCTCCACCTCTGGCTTTCTCGAAAAGCAAATGGCGCTTATAGGACGATCCAAATATGGCTGCCAAAAATTCGGGCCCTCCAAAACATTTATCAGCCAAAGGAACTCGGTCGATAAAAGACGAAGCTTTGCTTACCTGCATTTGAAGATGCTCTTCGTTTGGGAATACCACGTTCCATTCAAGCTGACCCATGCCTGCTTCAGCTGCTGCCTGACGATAAATCTTCTCTTGCAAGAAATAAAATTCGAACCTGATGTCGTTCTCACCCATTCCCACACTAGAAAGAAGCATCTTGTATCCGTCCTCGACGACCCCAATGACATCATAGACTGCACCAAGATCTGCCTCTCTGTGTTTGAGTGGGTCATTTGGTTGAAAACTGTCGATTATCGACGCGTTAACAGTCAATGCGATCATGATTCCTCCAGGCTTCAGAGCCAAATGTATATTTTCAAACATTCTCCGCATCTCCTCTCGCGTTTCTGCATAATTCAAAAACCAAGCTGCGACAACCATATCAAAAGTTCCTTCTTGATCACGAAGCTGGACCTCATTCCAAATGGATGATTGAGCACAATCTGCAGTGCAGAAAGTGACATGATCTTTCATCTCAACGGGAATCTTGGTTTGAGAAGCAGAGACCATGGCGGATGAGATATCAACCGCAGTCACATGAGAAGCGCCCATATGCAACATTTTGGAAATATAAAAGCCTGTTCCACACGCAAGGTCAAGAATTCGTTTGGATTGAACTCTGGGGCCAAGGTGTTCCATCATAGCTGCATGATTTATCTGCTGAATTGGAAGATCGCAAAAAAGGTCATAATTGGCACCAATCGTGTCATATTGTGTTGACATTGTTGCTCAGAGTATGTTAGTACGGTTCGACGCTAATCGTGATCATGTATGAGGAGTAATAAGGGAGATGTGGTCGATGGTAGTCAAACGCCCCATTTGGATTTTATCCAGATCAATATAGTCAACACTTGCATCGCGCTCTCTTCTTGACTTGGACAGACATAATCTTCATATTCCGATTTTTGAACCCTAATTTGGTCAGGCTCAGTACCTAGATATCTAGTGCATTATCTTCGGGACTTTGCTTTGTGATTATTGGCCGTATTGTCTATGCCACTTTCCTCATTTGTTAAATGTTGCGGTCGCCAGGTTGCACGAAGTACAACACTATAGGAAGGCGCACCTATAAAGGATGTGATGGTGGGCGATGTGAAAAGTAAGAAGCTAGCAAGAGTGAAGGTGCAGATGCTGGATAACGATGGTGGAGTTATAATCACCTGAAAGCAGATTGAGGCAAGCACTCGAAGACAGGGACTCAACAATCATATAACCCTCTAAATACCTATCGCTGCCCCTGGAATACTCTGTTTGGAGAGGTCACAGGTCCGCAATTGCACTCGCCTTGCTTGTGATTCTTGTGTCTCTTCACATTTTCCTCAATAATGTTGAGATATTCTAGCCTTTGAGCCTCAAACTTTTCCTGGTAGTACCGACTGACCAATATTTTGGTCCCAAAACTAGGGATTTCCCAATGTCTTTTGTCAGGTCCATCTCGTTCATCTGTAACGTTAGTCGCGAAGCTCTTTGAGCTACTTGCGACATCATCATTCCATTTCTGCCTCTCAATATCTAGTAGTTTTTCATCCACGACAAAATTTTCGCTTTCAGCTATGTACCTTGCAACAGAGTAAGGTGGAAATGGTTCTGGAGCTAGAAGGGGTGTATCCCGCGCTTTTGACATCTCAAACATCTCAATACACCTGCAAGGAAGATGCCATCCATCCTGAAAAACAACGTCGTTCTCTGTGCAAGGGTGAGGGGGATCTTGACCAGCTATAAAATAGACTTTTTTTACACCACCGAATGTGCCTAGTAATCTCGTCAAGGATTGATGCATGCTGCCGTCCGAAGTGCGGGCAAAATTGGGCAACCACCTGATTGGTAATGCAAGGTTCTCTACTCTGCTAAAGCCTCCTGTATCTTGATTGCCATGAGTTGACCGTGGAAGGGAAGAGAGGAAATCGCTGAGCTGGACGGCTACATGTTGCTGAGGCAGGTATAGAATATCCCTTTTGAAGTCAAACCAAGTTTCGGGAAGAGTGTGGGTGCCTTCGCGATATCCATTCTTGAAGGTGCGCTCATAAAATCTTGTTGCGATATTATAAGATTCTCGATTGACAAACAAGATGTCAGGAACTGGAGTTTGTGACCTGAATGCCCAAATATCGCCCACAGAATTTGCAGGTGTCTTGATGGGTTCTTGAGTTAAAACAACCACCCTAGGTAGGGGAATACAGTATTCCCATACGATTTGGCGGATGTCCGGGGGGAAATCGTTAAACTGAGGGAACGACGCCGACTTGATCTCTGTTCTCGAAGATAGAGACATTATGTTGTGAATGTTGATGGAATTACTTGTGTTATTGATCAAGGCGATTTAAGGGCTTATGTAGGCGCAGCAGGAAAAGTTAAATTCTGACTCAGCATGTAGGAACTTGACCTAACACCACACTGTTTTAATTATCTTCAGCCTTTTGAGCAGAACTGAGTATTTATTCCACGGTGAATGTTTGCAACTTTGCACGAGACAGATAATTCGATTATAGACTTTTATTGTTGTTAGGTAGGTAGGTAGTTATGTATAATCGAATTACGAATTGAACACAAACATGGGAATGCCAAAAGTAGCCTGCCTAGGTACCTAGGTAGCCTTTCAAGACAGGGAAATAGGTTAACTAGAGCAGACAAATAAGAGTTTAACAAAGCCAAACTCAATAAGTCACTGTTGATCAAATAAAAGAATATAAGAGTATTACATGCAAGGAAGAATCAACAATCATATGGCAACTGTTTTTCAATTCTATTCCCAGTCATTTGTTATGTTCTGGTTTTTTTTATACAATAACGGAAGCTTGATATTGGATTACTGGCCCCATTTCAATCTTTTCCATGTCGATGATTTTGTAGTGGAATAATTATCAGACTCTGAAGCTCTTCATGAACTATTCAGCCTTAACACCGCGGCCCCGGTTGACAGGTCAAAATATGACAATGAAAGAAGTAAACGAGAAAAGAGTCGTCGAGAATGATACCAAGGGTAAGCAAAGATGCGATTTTTGAATGTACTTGAGATAATGTGACTGCGCCGAAGAGTCTAAGTTGATGTATGGCTAGACGACCACTAGAATATTGATTCAGGCGACTCTTTTCGTAGAGACGCTCCTCGGCCCAGAAAACTCAAGGGACATTGAGTGCCACATTCATCCCCTAGCATAAGGATGAAAGCCTCTATTGCCACCCCTTCCACCACCTCTGTAGTTCGCACCAGGCTTTCCAGCATTCTTCGGACCTGTCGGAGCACCAGCAGGAGCATTCGGTGCCGCCGCAGGAGGAGCAGATCCCCTATCACTTCCTCCACCTCCACCTCCACGACCTCTTCCACCACCAAATCCACCACGAGCGCCGCCACCACCACCACTTCCTGGTTGAGGAACATCGTCATACATACCCTCCCAAGAAGTTGGTCCACCACCTCCACCCATTCCATATCCACCCCCACTACCGCCACCTCCATATTGAGATTGTTCGCGTTGAGCACGTCTCATTTGTTGTTGTTCGTATTTTTGTTGCTCGAAGAGACCTTGTTCATAGGCATTATAGCCAGGTGTGCCCATTCGACCACCTGGATTACTACCACCTCCTGCTGGAAAGTTACCTCCTTGTCCACCCATGGCCTGTTGCATCTGCATTTGTTGCATTTGCTGCATCTGTTGCATCATAGCTGGATTCATACTAGCCATTGCCGCCATTCCAGCCGTTGGACTTTGAGGACTTTGACTACGCGCGCCAGCACCTCCTCCCCCTTGCATTTGTTGCTGCATTTGTTGCATTTGCTGCATCTGAGCCATTTGGGCCATCATGGTAGGATTCATACCACCTGGCATCCCGCCTGGCATTTGTCCTCGTCCTCCTCCCATGGCCATTTGTTGTTGCATTAGTGCAAAATACTGTTGCATGCGCTGCCAATATTGAGCCATTAACTGAGGAGTCATACCACCTGGGACATTCATCTGACCACCTTGTTGCTGTTGATTAGAACTCTGAAATTCGTCATTGGCGTTTCCTCCTTTCTTGAATCGACTGCCTCGTGGTCCCCTGGTTTCTTCCTCTTCTCGTATGTTGCCTCGAGGCTGGGCTTTCTTGACCTCGATTGGCTTTCCATGAATTTCGAGTGGAGCCTCCAAGCATGCCTCAACAGCGGCTTCACTATCGAATGTGACGAATCCGAATCCTCGCGGTCTACCAGTGTCTTTGTCCATCATAAGAGTGGCATCTACAACTCGTCCAAATTGTGTAAAGTACTCTTTGAAATCTTGTTCGGAAGCATCCTGACTGACACCACCAACGAAAATCTTGCTTGTACGTTCTTGCTCATCTCTGGGAATAGCGCGTTTGGGATCAATCTTAAAAGTTGAATGTGAGTGAGTGCCTTTTGAAGCCATGGGGAGAAATTTGGAAGGATAAGAGCGTAAAGAATTGTTAAAAGTTTTGAGATCGGGTCTTACTATTTTGCCGTCAAGGTAATGTTCTTTAACCATGACAATATTGACAGTCCGGGCATCTTTGAATGTCAGGAATCCAAATCCTCGAGATCGACCAGAGGCACCATCTCTCATAACAGTACATTCAAGCACTTCACCAAATTGTGAGAAGTAATCCTTCAATGATTCTATAATCTAAAGTTAGTTGTCATACAGGGGTTAAGCGTAACTATGATATTTGGCCTTCTCACCATCTGTCGTTTCCCAATTCAATCCACCAATGAACATTTTACTAAGCAGGAAAAAGTTAGCATTCTGGCTATACTTATCAATTCATATGGCGACAATGAGAACAGGCAAAGAAGTCGCTCCATATTAGTTATCTTCAAAGCAATCAGTGCAACAGTGCTTTCTCCTGGGCTGTTTCACATCTCGGGGACGAGATGACATCCTTTCTCGATTGTTGACTGGAAAAATAGTTTGTAACTGGGCTGCAGGCGAAGGAGCAAGGGTGGGTTGGGGTTTAAGGGACCACATCTGGCATTTGATGGAGCTTTCGACATTTCCAGCATGATGTTAACGCCAGGTACACACCCAAGCAATAACCGTCTAACATTGCCTGCAAATCATGCAATAACGACAGAACAGATGGCACCATGAGACATCCAAAAAAAAATCGCGTTTTTTTGCTATCGTGATGCTAGGTACTGGCGTCGAAGCTATGGGCTATGGCCTATCTGTGTCTGTGGCTCTATGAAGATTATATCGACAATAGGCTATGTAGTAGTAGTAGTAGTAGTAGTAGTAGTAGCAGGTTTGACTATTGCCGTTGTGGATGGCGAATGCATGTGGTGTGTATACCCAATTATCTCAAATCAAATGACTCTGAGCTTATTCCAACGCCATTCCCTCTCCATGCTCCCTTAGCCTTGAATCAGTCCAAAGTAAATACCCAATGCCAAAGCAGGATATAATATTGGATCAAGCGCCCCAAGACCCCTTCACATAGTCACATAAACCCCCGAAAGCTCCCATCCAAATTTACCCGTCTCCATCTCGTTTGATTCCATTCATGATTACAACTCCAGTTTCCAGATATGCTGCCAGCTCATATCTCGACCTCTGCATCAATCCCAACACATCATATCCATGATCTCCATATACCATGCTCGGTGTGAGTTGAGCCCGGAGCTCCATGACTACAGTCATATTGCAAATGTGCAGAATAGCAATGATAAAGTGTAAAGGAAAAAATCTGTAATCTTACCCGTCTTCCTTAATTCCTGGGCCTTGTGCTTCATCCCTGGTGGAAGGAGCATCATAACCACCCCCATTGCCATTTCCGCTTCCCAGATTGAAATCTATGTCCTCATCCACATCTTGTTCACCATTGTACATTTGTTGATCTTCATCTCCATCTCCATTTTGTGGATTTTGTTCAATATCTTGTTCGGCTTGTATTTCAGCTTTGGTTTCTGTAGTTGGGGCTGGTGGTTGGGCAGTAGGTTCAGCCAGTGCCTCTGATGGATTTGCGGCGTTGTCATCTTCGGTGTACCTTAATGCAATGTATCAGCTGAATGTTTTGCGACGTGTTGATAGAGGTGCGACCAGAGAAATTTTGGAAAGTAGGTGTAAGGTGGATAGTACATACAAGTCAGCGAAGAGATCTTCCTCGAAATTCTCGGCTTCAGCCATGATGAGTCTGTCCGTTTTCTGTGAGATAAGTTGATCCAATTCAATTCAAGGTAAATGTGTAGAACGATGCGCGACTGCCGTTTCGTGTGCTTCTCGATGAAGAAGCTTTGCGAAAGGGCTGCAGTCTTGATCGCAAGTTACTAGAAGTGTTTAGAAGATTCAAGAAGTGTGTTGGGAGAGTTATTGAGGTTGAGGCGGAAATGGAAAGGAGATTGTAAGTGATGTAAATCGAGAGAAAAAGATTGATATAGAGATTCCAATTCAAGAGAGTCAATATCTAAATGGAAGGTCTGCTAAGGAGGAAAGGCCTTAAACCCAATAATAACATTTGAATCGATAGCATGGCGCGCCCTGGTCCGTTCCGCCTTAGTGTGATTTTAGCGTACCAATTCTGAGCTAGCGGGGCTTTCCCCGCCTGAGCCTGCGCAATGTACCCATACCATACCACATTCAAACAAAAGGAACAGTATTGAACAGTATTGAACTTCGAAATATAGAAAGACTACGAAAGGAATGAAAAACAAAGTATTGCAACTAGGCCATCCATTCTATGAGGGGTTGTGAAGATGTTCTCTTCTTCCAATGGTAGCAAAAAACCAGTACAACAGGTATGCAATGCCAATGTCCAAGTTGCTTGCATTATCCAGCTGACTCGAGCCACTATTGTAGGAGATGGTTCAGGTTGGTCAGTTTCCCCCCCCCCCCCCCCTACCCTCTGTCTTGAAGAATGAGCAGAGTTCTGCATGCTATACTATGCGCGATACATTCTCTTTATCTGACTGATAACTGACCTCACATTATAGAGCGTGCTGAGTACGTTTCCAATCGAGATCTCTTTGCGCCCCGCTTGGCAGAAGCTTTGAGTTGCAGTTTTGAGATATGAATCCCAGGGACTGACATGAACAGATCATCATCTCCCTTTTGGCGTGCCCGAACAGCAAGTGGTCGCCGTGATGCATCGCCTAAGAAGCAAAGTAGCGATTCGGGACCCGGGCTTGTTGTGGGAGCTGGATACTCTCATGCCGACATACTGAAGTTTGATAACCTGCATGTTTCACAATGTCATCGTGTTGTAGAATACCATCTAACCTAGAGATTAGATCATTATCTAACACCTCACGCCCCCGAACGCCTCCTTCCAACCCTTCGCACAAGCATCGAAGCAATACTCCACCGCAACGAGGTCCGGCAACATTGTCCCCGCCACCTCGTAGAACCTATACAGATTTCATATCGCATACCAATAACGATTGGGCTGCAGATGATGAAGAGGAGGAAGAAGACGAGTATGGATATGAGGATGATGATGGAGATGATTTTGGCCTTCCAAGTATCTCCAGCAAGAAGCGCAAGAACCAGAGCCGTCTGAAAAGTGCGTCAGCTGGTACCGCAGTTGAAGAAGGTAGTAGCACTCCGTGGCGCTCTAGTTTTGGGGCGAGTGCAATGGGCTTAGGGTCGCGAAGAATGTCAAACAGTGCAGACATTGCGATTGAAAGACCAGCGCCAAGTTATCCAGTTGCAAAAAAGAGCGAAGGGAAGATACTCCGGCCTCAATATAAAGAAATACTCCGGGATCCGGCAAATTCTCTACATCTAATAGATCACCCTCCAGTACCACCTAATGCCACATCGAAAGAAGTAGAAGCACATGGAGCCCGGATAACGCGAATAAACAAATTTAAAAGGATATTACAAGCTACCTCGATACCTTTGACCGAACTCAGAGATGCCTCTTGGAATGGAATACCAGAAGAAGTTCGTGCGATGTCGTGGCAACTCCTACTTGGTTATCTTCCGACTAGTAGCGAAAGACGCGTAGGCACACTGGAACGTAAACGAAAGGAATATCTTGATGGGGTACGACAAGCTTTCGAAAAAGGCGGCACTAATTCTGCTCCCACTGGCAAAGCCAGAGGACTTGATGAAGCAATTTGGCACCAGATCAGCATCGACGTTCCGCGAACTAATCCTCACTTGGAGCTTTACAGTTATGAAGCTACACAACGATCTTTAGAAAGGATACTATATGTTTGGGCGATTCGCCATCCTGCAAGTGGTTATGTTCAAGGCATTAATGACCTTGTCACGCCATTCTGGCAGGTTTTCCTCGCAACCTATATCGCAGATTCAGATGTAGAAAGTGGCATGGATCCAGGGCAGCTCCCAAAACCAGTGTTAGATGCAGTTGAAGCAGATTCATTTTGGTGTTTAACAAAACTTTTGGATGGCATTCAGGATAACTATATTTTTGCGCAGCCAGGGATTCAACGTCAAGTGGCGTCACTTCGGGATCTAACCGCAAGGATCGATGAGCCATTGGCCAAGCATCTCCAAGCAGAAGGCGTTGAATTTATACAATTTAGTTTCCGATGGATGAACTGTCTTTTGATGCGGGAGATTAGTGTTCAGAATACTATTAGAATGTGGGACACTTACTTGGTTAGTAACAAATTCCCCCTTTCTTTTCCACTACTAACACGAACAATTAGGCCGAGGAGCAAGGTTTCTCAGAATTTCACTTATATGTGTGCCTCGCATTTCTTGTAAAATGGTCCTCTAAATTACTAAAGATGGACTTCCAAGAGATTATGATGTTTCTTCAAGCGCTACCAACTCGCAACTGGACGGAGACTGATATCAATATGCTTCTGGGAGAAGCATTCGTATGGCAATCCCTTTTCAAGGGCTCCTCGTCACATTTACGTGGCAGCAGTAGTACTACACCCTCGAGTGCCCCTTATTGAATAATCTTTGGGTAGAAGCATTATACCAAATATCCACACTATTCAATATTGTGGACGAATGACTGGGATTCAGGTTATAGGTTATGGCGTTATCGGCGAGTGGGACATGAGGGACTCATAAGTCGAATGTATATAACGACAGAGCCACAGAGATGTATGGATTGGCAGAGGAATAATCATGCGTGTTGAGCTTTTGATATCACGGGATTTAAGACTAGGACTCGGATTTGGCCGAGTCGTTCACCTTTTGGAGGGAGCTCTTGAATTTCAATGTCAGTCGTCTAAGCTGCTTGAGTTGCATTTATTTGCACTTCTCAAACTAGACAGGTTAATAGAAGACAGAGTTTTGAAATAAACGTGTATTGATTCATTCCCACGAGTTTATATTGTGTTGAATCATGTGAATTAGATAACAATGCTGTGGATGATATAGTAGGACAACTAATTACGTCTCGTTAGTGTGATGTAGGAATGTAACCATGGGTTGATAACATTTATCATACTTCACGATATCCTCGGCGGAAAACTAAGAGTTTATCTTCAGTGTCTCTGAATTCACCATGCACAATATGTAACTTTGCTGATCATTGCATTATTGATTGAATGCTAAAAAGATTCGATATTATATTCTACCGAGAGTTGTGTCTAGCAACAAGTCCTCGATACCATTTGTTGACATATATACGTCGATTGAATATTGTACATGATTCTATAATGCTGCTCATTGACACCCATGTCTTTCGTATGTAACTCCCAACGCCTAACTCTGGACAATATAGAAATTGCCTTTCCAACTCTGAGTTTGCCTATCGGACAAGAGCTCCATTCAAGAAGATATACAAGAACAATTCGTGAAGGAAAATACAGTATTAGCATTTGATATTCAAATCCTGTTGAACCAAAATCATTTATTTTCATCTTAGCCCTAGAATCCCACCTCCCTAACCTTCCCAGCCCGTCCCCAAACATCATACTCTATCCACCTCGCTACGCCCCTTCTTCCCTTTGCTACCACACCCGCTGGATTCATAACATGACACCCCTCGTACGTCAAGCAAAATGCCGGACTATCTACATCACACAAAACAATTGCTGTAGGTAATGGATAGATACTCAACGCATTTGAGAAATCCCAATGCTGGGGTGCGATATTGAGAGGAAAGGGTGAAAGATGTCCCTGATCGAGGAGTGTCCTGGTAAGACGACGCGCGGTATGGATATCGGGGTCGATTTCTGGAGGAGGTGTGGAAGAGGGAATTGAGGAGGGAGGTGGCGACATATCTATATCTTCATCTTCGTCGTTTTCAGGGGTTGACTTTTGAGATGATTTGAGAGTAACGGCGGTACGACGTAATCGTCCGCTGACGTCGTCGCGAAATACTACCAGCTCGCAACTCATGCCAAATAAGCTGACTCTTGCTGGATTGCTCGTCCAAACGGCTTCTCCATCTCCTTTCTTTCCGTTTTCTTTTTCCATTTCAGTATTTGCGTTTGCAAAGGCACGTTTTATGCGGGAAGTGAACATTTCCGGTACAGGTTTTCTAGGTAGAGGAACAGTAGACCCGGATGAGAAGGCTGAAACCCATGCGTCGTTGGGGCCAGGGACAAAGATGAATGTTGCTGTGCTTAGGAGGGTAGGGTATTCGGAGAGAACAGCGGCGAGGGAATCAAAATATTCTTTATATTCTATAGAGCCTCCCGACCCGCCCCGAGCGAGTACAGCATGAGAGACGAAAGAGCCGAGTAGGATAAAGGTCATAGGTGTGCAACCTTCTGGTTCAGACGAGTATAAAGAGAGGATCTTTTTAAGGGCTTGAAGAGTTTGAGGGACATCAAGATGTACATCACCAAGAATAACTACACGGCCTCTGGATGGCGGCGGGGGATCATCCGCATCTGTGTCAGGGGGAGGTGGCCGGAGAAGCTTCTGTTCCAGTCGTTGCATTTTGTTGCCTAGGGCACGAGAACTACCGACACCTAGAAAATCTACCCAGCCGAAACCACCACCGGCTGTGGTATCTCCCTCACCGGCAGTTCCTAGAGTCACATGACGGCGCTCGGGAGGAGGATGGCCGATGAAGAAGCCGACGAATTTTCCGGAAATAGTACCTCCTACGCCCCCATTTCCACCAAGACGGGATGATGCTCCAGTTTCATCTTCCTCGTATGTGCCATCTACGAGTACCATCATTCCAGGGGCAAACCAGGCGCTATCTTCGGGGATGGCTGTTGCGTGTGTAAGATCGAGAGCGATGCTGCCCGTCAGGTCATTGATGGCGAGGGTACCAGTGGGTGAAATGCTGAGAAGGCCGAGAAGCATGTGGGTGCTGCGGTTGCGGCCGAGAAGATTAGCTATCGGCGTTAATTTGTATGATTGTTGTTGGGTGGTGATGGCGGATGTGCTACGTTGAAGGGAAGCTTTGCCACCTTGAAAAGCGGGCGTCTGGAAAGATTCATTGCGAAGTAGACGTTGATGTATAACGTTATAGCGGTTTTGAAAGAGTAGTGTTTTATGGGACGCTGGTGGGAATAATGAAGGTTTGGAGGTATCTCTGTATTGCATTAGTCGATTCAGATGAAAGTTTATCATTGAAACATACCTATCAAAGTGCTTTTTAGCAACATTATACACCAGTCGAGGTTGCTCAAAAGCATCAATGACCTTTAACCACTTCCTTGGATCCATCAGGCCATCCTCATCTTCCTCATCATTAACCTCCAACGTTGACAGTCCCAAGCTTGACTGACTATCCTCTCTAGGTATATTCCCTGGCCGTAGTCCAAGTCTGGTATGATTGACCTCTCCATATTGTGAGGATCCCAATACCAAACTGTTCTGCCGGCTTAATTCTCTTCCTACAACTATCCTTCCACCACTCATGTTCCCTTCCAGAGCTTTCAGAATCTCCTTCAAATCCGTCCCCTCTCCATCGACAATAACACCACCACTCCTATTTTTCCAACTCTTTGCAACCTCCTCTAAAACTCTCTCTGCCAGTCCTTCTTCCCTCCATCCTGTTCCACAATGCTTTCCAATAAAAGTAGCCAACACCTGTAATGCCGACGACGTCAATGTTAAACTATGCTTCTTTGTGAAAGTGCGAAAAGCCAATGGTCTTAAAGTCGCAGGAGGAAGGAGAATTGGCAGAATACTCGCTTTTGGTATAGGAGTTGCGATGGGATTAAAGGGTCGTATAGGATGTACTGGTGTTGCAAATGCAGGCGACGATGAGGGGATGGGATTCGAAACTGTAGCGGGGGTAGCAGGAGGTCTGAAGAGTGGAGGGGCTTTTGATTTCGTGGTGGGATTGAGGCGAGCCATATTTTCAATTAGGTTTCCAAACTTCTCTATAAATTGTCGTTTGAATCGTTTTCAACCATGCATTTCGTAAATTCATATATGCTTCATACATTTGTTCAATATTTTGATCAAGGCTTGTGAGACGCGTTATTGACGCGTAAAAGTTAAAGTGCTTTCAAGTTTCGCGTAAAGCTCAGCTAATCCCTGCAAATCTAGTCCTTCTGCAACTTACGACTATGAGCTTCAAAAACAAGTTATCATCTCATTCACTTATCATAAATTCATTTCTATATCACCTCCTAACTCCACCATTCATCAATTGTTAACGTTCTACAGTTACAATTGAACAACAAGATTGACCTTTCCCAAAGCTCTACCAATTACCTCATTCGCGCACCTTAAATTCCCAATTGCTCACCTATAAAGCTATAATGGCAGAACCAGTCGAGCCACCCATCACCTTATCCGCGCAAGCATCCGCAGATTTGGAAGCATACAATTCGGCCAAAGTATCGCTCGCTGAATACTGTGCAAAAGGAACTGCTGAATATGCACAAAAGCGTTACGACGATGCCGTAGATCATTATGCGCAAGCCGCCGAATTGCAGGCTGAAATCAACGGAGAAATGTCACCGGAGAATGCAGAGATTCTGTTCTTGTATGGAAGAGCCCTCTTCAAGGTTGCGCAGCAACAAAGTGATGTATTGGGTGGTAGAGCTGGAGGTGAGAAACAAAAGCCTAAGAAGAAGAATGGCGCAAAGAAAGTAGATGCCATTGCAGAAGAAGATGAGACCGTTAAGACGGAAGATGAGAAAAAGGATGAGGCCGGAAAGACAGAAGCAGAAGAAAAGGCAGATAAGGTGGCCGAGGAAGAGGTTGCGATAATTGCAAATGGAGGCGCTACAAAGAAAGAGGAGAGTTCTAGCACAAATCCAAATAAGCCTCTGTTTACGTTCACGGGAGATGAGAATTTTGAAGATTCAGATGAGGAGGAAGAGGAAGCAGAGGAAGAAGATGAAGAAGACGATCCCCTCAATATTGCTTTCGACATCCTGGATTTGACCCGTGTATTATTCGAGAAGAGGTTACAGGCGGATGAGGGAGAGGGCAAGGGTAAAGAGACTGGCGATAATCCTATGACTACCCATATCAAAGAGAGGCTCGCGGATACACGTGATCTCTTGGGAGAGATTTCTCTTGAAAATGAAAGGTGCATGAGGTTTATGCTACAAAATTTCCCATCAATTGCTAACATTTACATAGATTTCCAGCCGCAGTTGCAGATTTCAAGGAATCCCTCGCCTTGAAACAGAGTCTCTTCCCAGAAGAAGATGAACAAATTGCCGAAGCGCATTACAAATTATCCCTCGCCCTCGAATTTGCATCAATTACACAAACTGAAACCGACGATAAGAAGCCCAACGCAGGAGCCGACAATGTTGACGAGGAAATGAGAGCTGAAGCTGTCAAAGAATTGGAATTGGCGATCAAGAGCACCAAACTCAAGCTACACAATCAAGAAGTTGAATTGGCAGAGTCGGCCGTATCAGAAGATAATGATGTTACAAGACACAGAATCGCCGATGTCAAAAGTATCGTTGCGGATATGGAACTTCGTGTACGTTATCCACTTCCTTTTCTCACACGATTTCTCCCAAACTTCTACATCGGGAGCAATATACTAACACCCTTATCCCACAGCTCAAAGAACTCCGCGCTCCACCTGTGGACATCAACCAGGCTTTGGCTTCAGCCCTCGCTCCAGCTGGCGCAACCCAATCCAATGCTATGAGTGGCATTCTAGGAAGCGTCCTCGGAGAATCTGCTTCTGATACCGCTGCACGTGTTGAAGAAGCCAAAAAGACAGCTACGGATCTAACAGGTTTAGTCAGACATAAGAAAAAGGAGACTAAAGATTTACCAATACAATCAGGTTCGAAGAGAAAGGCAGAAGAAGAGCCAGAAGTTGAGGGCGAAAGTAGTGATGGGGGAAAAGAGAAGAAAGCCAAGGTTGCTAGTGTAGAGGAAACTGCTGAGAAGACTGCTTAGTTGTTTTTTCGACCGAGTTCAGGTGGGGATAAAAACAAGGGATATTTTAACGAAAGGGGAACAATTGGATCCAACATTGGAAGCAAAACGAGTTTGTAATAAAATGACTGGTGCTAGGCAGGCGTCTATATGAAATCACATAGGATACTATGGATTATTTTCAGTGATCATTTCGATCCACTGTGTATGTACAATGAATGATCAACGTGGTTTCAATTACGATACACGAATGAAGTCGAGAACCTGATTGAAATTTCAAAGCTTTTCCTTTAGGAACAACAAGTAAGAGAAAGGGATACTGTAAAGGTCGTGAATGAGATACTAAAGAAACATCAGTTTCGATTGCCAGATCCAATAAACGTTGATATATTATCCCTCCCGGTGAGCTCCGACATGAAGCTCACCGGGAACACACCAGTAATTAATGAACATTGAAAAGAGCACATGATTCTCTCTAATACTGTATACCTAGTACTTTATTATCAACAGTCGAAAGATTCACACCCAACTATCCATGTATCAAATAACAAATTTCTTCACTCCCTATCTCACAATCCCACGATCTCAATCAATACAATCATGAATAGGGTTGAAAGTTTGTATAATACTTATTGAATACTATATATATTATAACTATTCATGAGCCAATTAAGAGAACCTACGATTCATGAATATGAGTACTTATTTTTTATTTCCCAATCCTTCGTATTTTCATTCATTCCATCCATCCGTTCCATCCCATCCCATCCCATTCATTCCTAGCCATTGAGGTCCCCTGAAAATTAATCGCCAAACTCCATGCTATACCTGATATTACTATTTAGCAACCCCAGACGACAACGATGATAATACTACTACTACCCAATCCTGAGCTTCACCTGCTCGATTGTATTTGCATGAATGCTCATTTTCTCGTCTTTTCTCGCATCTCATCCGACTCCAGAATTTATTTCTGAAGATTACTGTCTCTCATTAACCACTTTCACTTCTACCTCAACTCTAATACCCCCTCATCCAACACTCCAAACAACACCTCTACTTCCCTTTGCACCTTTCCAATTTCCTCTGCCAATTGTCCCGTTACCAATATGAAAGCATACAAGATTTCATAATCCTCATCTTTCACTGTGATTCCCTGACTTGATCTTCTCTGCACCCCGGCCCCTTGCAACTCCAATCCACCAGAGCTTGATAATCCATCATCCTCATCGTTTACTTGCGTGGGTTCGTCCTCATTACTACGACGGTTACTAATGGACATGTTTTTTCTATATTGGAAAATCTTTGCTAAGAGGCGATCGCGTGAATGAGCCGTGCTGGGAAGGCCGTCTGTTAAGAGAGGGTACTCGAGTTTCATCGAGGAGGCCATGACTATTCATTATTAGTGTCTTGAAAATTTGTGACTTTGAGTTGGCGAAAAGTACAAACCTTGAAACAAATGGCTAATTCTCGCACAAAGCTGCGCTCTTTCGTCTTCCGTGAATTTCAATAATAAAGCTTCACCCTCACTAGCTTCAGCATTCTTTTGGATGACTACATTCATGGCATGAAAAGCATCCAGCATTTTAGTCGTAGCTTCGACTATGCGCCCATAGGTAGCAGATGGGAATGGACCTCGAAGTTCGAATTCGCTTGTGGCTGAGCTTCGAAGTTTGTCAAGTACGAATATATACCTTTGAAATTCGAATTCTTCTCTCAAGTTCATGTATGCATATTGAGACTCGCCTTCTACAATTGTTGATAGAGGATCTCTTTTCCAGACAAGACCCATTCGCAACCACAGAAGCGACAAACCTTCTTTGAATTTTTGTCTTGCTGAAATCGGCCATACAATTCTTGTGATGATCAAACCCCAAATACAACCTGCAAGAACCGCAACAACTCTATGAAATGCGATTTCGGTGATGATTGGTCTGACACCGCCTTCGTCGTCATCGTGATCGGAATCTTTAACTGATAAAGAATACGCGTACAAGCAAGAAAGGTTGTAGGTAAGCATAATAAAGCGACCGAAGGGGCCATTACCTTTTGCAATGATAATATAGAAACACGGCAAACTGACAAGCCATCCACAGAAAGCTAATGCGTAAGGATTACCGGCACAAATAACCCAAACCACACATGCGATTACGGCGCCGATGAAAGTACCAATGAAACGAGCCCAACCAGTAGTGTTGGATGCTCCAATTGTCATACTACACACTAACATGTAAGACAAAAGTCCCCATTCTCCTCTATAATGCTGATATGTTGGTCTTGTGCCGGGTATGAAAGCAAATAGAGCATAAAGAGCAGCTCCGAGGCCAACTTTTACGGCAAATCGAACTAGAAATTGGTGAGTGGGGTATAAAAGGCTTACTTTGGACAATACTTACTATCGTCACGGTCCAGAAATCGAACCATGCACATTGCCTTACGTCGTATAATACCTCCCTTAGTTTCTGAGTTCACTCTAGAAGTGATTTCAACTTTTCTATATCCAAGCCTGGTGCGTAAAGGATCAGGAATGTCTTTGGGCAATTCAGTGCCTACATCCCTCGCAATAAGCTGTTCCTGCTCTTCATCATCGATAGCATCTGCTTTGGATTGACGATTAGACTTTCGCCAAAACATGAGCCATTTCCACGAGCGATGTTTTGAACTCTCTACTTCCTCTTTCAATTCTTCTAGGATTGCCAAATAGTTTTGCATCTCGCTTGCAAAATCTTGAAGATTGAAACTAAAATGACCGCAGCTTGCAGCCACTTCTTCGAAATCAGCTTCAATACTTTCAGGACGGGTTCTATCAAGTTCTTTAGATTTATAAAGTTCCTTCAGTGCTTGAGCTCTTGCGTTGCTGTAAAGTTTTCTACAAATAAATTGTTAGTTTCTGGACTTGTAGAGGTAAGTTGGATATCCTTACAATGCTTCTGTCAGACTTGATCGGAAATGTTCATTTATAGTAATACGGTATTCAGGCCCTTCGGCAAATGGTAGCTCTTCTAGGATTTGCGAGAGCGTATATGCGAGCGACTTCATTGACGGGCCAAGATGAAGAATAAATCGTCCAAAAATTTCTGATGGAGATCGAACCGTAGGCATAACTATACTCGACAAAGTGGTTTCGGTACCTTGGCGAGTGAGAAACTTAGGTCTCTCTGAAATGGCATCGAGATCACTGCCTTCTTCCGATGCTTCCTCAATGGCTCCAAGAACTGCAAAACGATCTGATTTGCTGCTGATGGGTCGACTGAGGGAATTTGTTTGATAAGACGGGAAGCCATGTGAGCCCGTTGGTGTTGCGCTGCCTAATGGAGGTTCTTGAAGCAACGAAAATTGTGTCATTGCAGCACTCCGTAATCCTCCAATGGATTGGGCAAGTGTTTGCATGCAACCAACAAGCCTCGCTTCAATTGCATATTCGTTTTCAGTGCCTAGAATGTAATGTTCCAGTTTCGCCTCCTTTAAATTCTTTGTGAGCTGAGTAAAGACCGATTTGTATTGCTTTTGAGCTCGATCAAAGGAGGTCGAGCGCAAATCAGTTTCAGAACCACTAAGGAATCCTCGAGTAATCATAGTAAGCATATCCCCAAATGAGTCTGTGGTCTTGATCATGCTTTCTCGAAGCTCTGCTCGAGCAGATATCGGCCATGCCTTTCAGAAATCAGTAATTGTCCTTAGCAGTTGTAAGGAAGAGAATGACTAACCAATAAGCTGACGATTGACGTTGAAACCATCCCCATAATAACCATCTTCATGACCTGTACAATTTTATCATTTGAAAAAACACCCACTTGCACCGCATTCTCTTTTGTGAGGACCGTAATGATCGCCAAACTTGCCAGACTACAAGCAACACTAACCAATGGAGCATTGTAGGCCTGCTTGAACCAGCCGATGAATCCTAGACCACCCCCACAGAACACTATGAGAATAAGGGTATAACCAAGTTCTATGAGGCCCAATTGAGTTTCGCAGTACACCGAGACCGCCATGCTCGACACTGATATGAAGACCGCGTATAGGAATGCCGATATACCCAGTATTGCGGCTTCAATCATGGAACCCGATGATCTCGCTGGGTGAAAGTATACCGTGATCGTAGCAACCATATGTTTCCCATCTTGTTGCCCCAAAAAGTTGGCCAAGTGCGGTGAGAAAGTCGCCATACTCCCAAGTGTGTATGCTAATGAGCATTTCAGAATTCCCTTTCCAGTAGGTGTTTTTATCCATTGTGCAAATTCCTTTGAGGATTCAACACAATTTTTCCAACCTCTTTGGAATACGTTTGTGTTTTCTCCCGTTAAATTTAGACCCAAGCCCAAACCTTCTTCATGTGGATGTGATCGCACCGGTCCGTCAAATCCTGAGGGACCTCGCAGTGTAATTTGTCTGCGAACTCGTTCTCCTGTACTAGGTAATACGAATGTTCCATTCCGTAATTTCTATTGCGATGTGACACAAGATTAGTCCTCAGTCCATTCTCTTGCGCAAATCCTATAGTAACATACCCCTCGCTTTGCGCCATTCTTTCCAAACCTTCTATCTCGTTGAGCGTCCCTATTTACGGGCGACGCGCTGGACCCTTCTGAAGCCGACGGCGAGGAACTCATGATAGCTATTTCCGTTCTTTCATAGCTTGTTGTTGTTATTACAAAAACAATCGGATTTGCTCGAAGTTGGAGTTGGTGATCTGAGATTATCGGTGGCGCAGGTTGTAGCACTAAAATATAGCTACCCCGGATTCTTTGTTAGGCGCTAAGTGGAGACTCATCGATAACCAATGTCAGTAACATTCAGCGCATCATCCTTTCAATGAATCAGAAGACAGGAAACGAATTGTTATGAGTACCCAACAATAAGGGCAATGGAAAGGAAAATGACAAGGGCAAGGAAGGGAAAAGGGAAAAGGAAGGACAATATTCTATCATTTGTTATCGACAAGATAATGAATGTTCCCAGCTCAACATGAATACGAATCCGGTGCTGTCTATCACCGCTGCAGATTTCCAAGCCATCCCGAATGGTATATCGCGACATATATCTTACCCCGATCATCAAGTTGCGTGTTGATCATCCGGGATTTAGTGTAATGCGATTTCAAGATTCGGATATCATTACCACTCAATGCTACTGTACGGTTATACCGCTCAGCCTACCGCTGCACAAGTAAGTCCACGTGGTTGGTTTAGTTGAGCTTCAGATCGTCCTAAGTCTCACCTGATTTATTCTCATATGCATGCCATGACCCTTACAACTTCAGCTCGACGATATCAATTTGTTCAATGTGCAATGATCGATGGGTGTACGGATTGTTGACTATAGGTATGGAACGATGTTACACTTGAAGAACATCTTCAACAGCGGTCAATATCCTTGCTCAGTCGATCTCTTGAGGAACAAGAGCTCAGAATTGTTCTCACTTGAGACCTCTATAGCATTTGCAAATACTGGTCTTCGCACATATCAAACCCCAGCATTTCTTGCTTAGTAGTATCTCTGGAAGTTCGAGAGGTGCATCGGTGTGAATGATATTACATCTTCTTCTGATTTTCACAATTGCTAGTGGACCCGGATTCTTGATGTAGCACGTCTAAAAATCTCAAGTTGATTGCTTTCTTTTTCATACAATTCCCTGATGCAAATCTAGAGGCAGAGTGCTTCCTTGCCTGTATACTTTTCTTCTAAATTCCCATGATCGTGGTCTGTTAGTTCCCTTCCCTTGGGTCAATTTGTAGAAGTTTCCAGGCTCACTACAATATTAACGAGCCATGTTAAGGCTTGAAAACATGTACTTGGTACATTTTCTGTTGCTACCTCCTGTCAGATTATCTCGATTGAATGAGCCGATGGACTTTGATAGAAAATTGTTTTCTGTGAAATATCGTTTTTCCCAGAAGCTGGATATTTCGTGGCTTATATCTAACTCGCTTTCACCAAGACACGACTCTTGCATTTACTCCCTATGAGCCCACATAACCTCATTGCATTAATTCCAAGTCCACGAACCTCACTAAGCTCATAAGGCGATTCTCTGGAAGATTTAATCTGGCCACTTAAGTCAAGCGTTTAAAGCTCTGATTATTACAATCTCTAATTATGAAAGAACGACCACATGCTAAGGTTAGCTATCATCCTGCTACTTTCCAAGCTCCGAATCTGAAACATCAAGAATCTTTTTCCATTCCGCTCAACTATACGGGTGATTCAGCTCCATTTATCCAAGGGGCAAGAGAAAAGCAGAGATCTGGAGATGCAAGTGATCGCAAAGATAATGCAAACAAGATTAAAGCTCCAAAAACAAGTGACGCGCATGTTCATAGAAGCTTTTGAAACGGTGGTGTCGGTGACCTGAACAAGCCAGCGAAAAAGTCTGAAAAGAAGACCGGCATGGAGGGAGGCGATTCAACGGGGAAGAAAAATGGCTCTCAATTTGGAGATGCTCTTTCTAGATTCAAGTAGAAAACGACGAGATATTGGGAAAAGAAACTATAGTTCTAGGATGGGCATAATGTTCACTTTATAGCGTCTGTTGAATTGCTTTGGACGTAGTTACTGCATCAACACACACGGGCTAATTGACAAAGATAGATGACTATGAAAGAAATCGCAGGACATTGAACTGTTTCAGTTGCAATCATCGTACCTTTGACTGCTTTTGGTTAATTTTCGAGCGTCATTGCAAAAATTGACAACGGTATATGCATAATTACCTTCGTCGGCTGTAAGTGTGTTTGAGTCACATAACTCTCGATTATTCAGGTTTTAAAATTGTTAACACAAATAAATCATGTGGCACTCAATAATCTGAGACCTATTGAGTGACTAAATCAAGAAAACTGTTGCCTACTCATGAGGTAGAACAATTGGATACTGACTGAGCGGCCCTTAACATAACCGCTTTATTTCCTCCACAGGAAAGACTTCCGGCCATTGAAAAGATCGCTTCAAGGCAGAAACCCTAATAGTTTCCAACCAACCTGAGTTTTGTGGTCCAGCCTATGGAAATCTGATTATAAAAGTAGGATTTCGGCTACATGGAAATCACAGCACAAATTCACTTCTTCAATTCCTCGTTATACCATTCAAGATACAATACAAGCTTGAATCTATAATTAATTATATATATCTATCATGAGTTCCCGAGCCATACCAGATGGCAAAGTCACCGATGACTTGACCCATCTCAACTCTAAGAACAAAAGAGCCAAAACCTTTCCAGAGGTTCACGATCCTAGCAAAGTGAACCCCGCTAGAAATAAAATCCCCTGTGTTCCCATGCCAGATTCTACGAGCAGCAGCAGTAACAGTAACAGTAACAGAACAGCAGAGCCTGGAGTGCGTGATCACGAGCGAGGCAAGGGGTGGGGTCTGGTGACCTCTATGTTAGGGGGACGAGGAGCTCATCAGTCGCCTCGAAATCACGCGGGAGAAGAGATGAATGGGGAGGATGAGAAGGCAAAGGAAAAGGAAAAGAAAAGGACGGACACACCAAGAAGATTAAAAAAAAGTGGCGGGTTAGCGAAGCTTATTGTGGAAGAAGGAGAAAGAAAACAAAAGTAGGTCGGATCTTGAGAGGGATGGAAACTCGTTTCGGCGTAATCAGATCACTTGGAGGAAATATTGAGAGATACTAAGAAGCAGACGGCTGGGTTACAGAAATGGCGATTTTTAATTTCTGTTCTGATGGCAAGCTCGCTATTCCATCTCAATGTATGTCGGTTTGGTGATCACATTGATATGTTCTCGAACCATACGCTAGCGTGGTTTTATAAATTGCCGAGAAATTAGCGTGTCACTAGCACACTTCCGAAAATGAGGTTCGTCGATAAGGCCTACTCTTTATGACATTCGAGATTTGATGCTCAATAGTTTATGAAAAGTGCGGATTGCAAAGACTCATACACAGTTCGATGGACATGGGAACAGTGTGCACAATGCAGGAAACGACGTGGAAATTGAGAAGAATGGTATTTCTTAGTTCCTGGCGAAGATTGTAGCAGAAATTGGCACAAGTTCGAGGAGATCTTCTGCTCGCGTAGATTGATAGCAACTACTTATGTATTTGACTAGACTTATGAAATACAGTGACTTTTTATTTCTCTCAAGAAAATTTGCAATTCTCAACTAATTTGAGGAGTTATTATTAAGGAGAGGAAAGGAAAAAGTTCTGTACTATCTAGATGCTGATCCAAAAGCATTCGAAACAACCAGTGGTAGTATTTTTAGTCCTTTGAGGAATGTCAAGGTGGATTTCTCCTGATCAATGTCTTTGCCTGTGACATTTTTGGAAATGTCATGCTTTTTTTGCGGTTTCTTATTCTTGGGAGTAAGACTTTCAGAAAATTCATCCAAATAGTTTCGAAATTGGTGTATTAGTTCGTCTCTCAATTGACCCTGTCGAAGTTGATCTGCGGATTCTGTTCCTGAATTCGTAATGCGGGCTTGGATCCTTCACTGAGGCCGATTTTCTGAAGGAGCTACGACCGAATCCAAGCTAATCCTCGGGTATTTATGAGATTTACGCGTTAATATTACAAACCTGAGATTCAAAACGCTTTGGGAAATACTCATAGAGATTCATTCAAACTCAGCTTACTAACTCGTGTATATTGTATCAGAATATTTACCATACGACAACCAAACACAAATAAGTGCAAAATGAATTACAACATGAAATTGTATTTAAAGACGACAGAAACAAGTACGATTTATTTTGAATATGTTTTGTCCAGAGATCATGACAACTGCTCATAAGCTTACCTGAGCTCGGCATTCAGTCACGTTTGGTGCATCTATCGGTCTGTTGAGAAACAGTAGAAGAGAGTTTATTATTCTGGAAGTTGGAATATCAGTCATGACAACGACAAATCCTGGAATTAAAATTCGGCAATTGAAAGAACAGTCAATTTCTAAGCAAGTCTTGCGTCAAGATGAATACATACAGGTTTCTTCGGCTAGGAATGTAAGATTACATGGCAAAGGGCCGCGGCCCTGAACAGCCAGCATACATAAATGTTACCGTTAAAAATGCATCTTTGCTATCTCCGCCACAAGTTGGTACGTGTTGAATGGCATGTGCTCGTGCTAATTTCTTAAGATGTGATGTAGGAATGACCAGGTCCAGGGACGTTGGTGTTGTAACCATTCATCTATAAATCAACAATGCTGGCGGCTCAATCTTTAATTCAGTGTGTTATAATTCATCTGAAGATAGATTCACCTTTTGAAGTAGTTGTATCCACTTGGGATCTTCTAATTTTCTTCTCAACGAAGATTTTCTGGAATGACCGAGTCACCTAGCACCGTGTTACCATAATATTTGAGCCGTCTGTGAGCAAGACTCTGGATTTGAGACTTCCTGATAGTCCTGCAAAACGGAAATTTGACAAGCAAACGGCAGTGGAAAAAGCCAAACAGAAACTTGAAGAAAAAGCGGCAGGGGAAAGAGTCGAACAGAAGAAACGGGACGCAGAGCAGTCAGAAAGATTCGAAAATAGAGCGAGGCGTGGAGGAACTCCTTTTCCACGTAAATTTTCAAGCAATATCGACGGGGAAGAATATCCACCTAGAAAATATCTTAAGAAAGATGTACGCCCGCCGAGACCAGCGAACGACTCCAGATCTCGCAAAATTCCGGAGCGATGGGCAGGAAATCCCGACAGGTCGAGGGGTTCGCGAAACACCTCGGGCACAAAATAATGACCCCCAAGGACGACCAGAGAGTAAAAGGTACACATATGAGCAGCCTCTTCCTGAGCGTTCTCGCAAGGACCGTGGTCAATTCTCAGTGCCAGCAGACGATATCAACTCAAGATATTTAAATAGGGAGAGAGCAGAGAAACTTGAACGGGATCGCAAAGAGAGAGAAGATCGTGAAAGACGCAAAAGAGAGAAGAAAGAGGAACAAGAAAGACGGGATGAGCAAGACAGAAGAGAAAGAGAAGATCTTGAAAGACGCAAAAGCGAGAAAGAAACGAGGCGAGAAACATGGAATGAACACGAAAGAATAGGAAGAGAAGAAGAAGACAAAATTTACAAGCAAAAAAGGGATAAACAAGGGAGAGAGGGAGGAAAAGAGGAAGACCCATTAGAGCGCGCTTGGAATGACAAGCTCCGAAAGGAGCGTGAAAAAGTAGCTGAACAGATTGCAATTGAGGAGTCTGCTCGGAAATTTAAACCAAGAACAGCTACAAGGGAAACAATAGGCAGAGACGAAGGAGGACGCACAAAGCAAAGAGCGAGTGACAGTAATACAGTCAGAGAAGAAAAGACGGGGAAAACGCATATATGCACTAGCCAGGACGAAAGGGAAAAGGGATAGGAAGCCCAGAGATAGAAGCAGGAGTAGAGATCGGTACGATAGAGGCCATGCGCGCGTAAGACCAGCTCACCCAGAGACGAATACAGGTGGAGGTGCTCGACATAAAGACTATGGGTCATACACATATTCACCTCTTTACATTCGCAAACCGGTCCCAAAACCAGAAGTCGACGGGAGGGGAGATGAGAAAATGTATAGAGACAAGAAGGATCGGGATCAGACTAGAGATCCTGAACTCATAGCACGTCCCAGACGTAGGGATGAAGCCGATCAATACGGAAAATATGTGCCAAGTAGGGATCCGCTTTTCTCTAGTCATGAAAGCCGACATGCTCCCCCGCTCAGCCGTAGTACACCCCGGAAAACTGCCCACCACGACTCAGGGTATGAGTATAACGATGAAAGACCTGGGAAGTACCGTTATTGATACTCAAACACGACATAATAAAGAACTTCAATTAATATTACTTTTTATCACTGCAATCAAGCATTTTGATTTAGGGAAGAGTGATCGGACAAGAAAGAAATTGAAAATATAAGTTTTTTTGAAATAATTCGTTTTGTTGTATTTAAGTGCCAGCGACTGTAGTCATTGCCATCATGAATGATTGTTCTATCTTATGGCAATGGATCGTAGTCAATAGTTGTGATTTGTGGGCTTCTTTTCCAAATCATCGAATCATCGCTACCATCGCTAGATATACTAGAATTTAGTATTATTCTCATTTTCATTCGTCTCTGCTCGTTGTGCACAAACGCTACGATTGACCGAGTGTGTTCTCCATTAAGAGAGATTTTCAGGACATTGAAAGTAAAGTTTCGACTTCTTCACAGTGAAGTGAAAGGCGGTGCTGGTGAGTATTTCATTGTCGTATCGAGTTTTTCCCTCTGGCCATTCTTGAGCCAAAGGCTCAAAAGCACAAAAGCAAATTCATGGTATCAATATATAGGTCTATTGCTATATCTAGCTATTCAAAAGTAGCAATCCAACGAAGCTACAGCCATTTTAATATCAGATTCCGGAAGCATTCCTTGAAGAACCTCACGAAGATCTCGAGGACCGTTGTGGCAACAATGATTCACGATTGTACCATCATTCATCCGTACATCTACTCCCCCATCTGCCATATTTACCCTCCAATTGCTTTGAACTTCGCGAGCCATCTCTTTTATAGCAACGTCGTTGCCCACCTTCCCAATATCAAAGTGCCTGAATTGGAAGCTGATGTCTTGGTCGTTTGTAAAATATAGTATTGATGACTTTGCAAAGCCATTGAAGCATTCAAATATATCGCCCAGACCACTTTCAGAACCAGTATTTAGGTTGTACAGGTGCGGCCTGCAGGCACGCCAAAATCGAAAGATGACAGCAATAATACCTCGGTGACTGGGATGCACGGCTTCAACAGTATGGCCAAATCTACCATAGTGACTACCAAGGCTGTTGAAGATATACTGTAACAGTATTTTCATGTGAACCATGACTTGCCCGACTTGCTGCCCGCTCAGAACGAGGCTTTCAAAAGCTTTGGATACTGCTACCAAGTAGACTTCGCATGCGAGCCAGCCAGCTTCATTTTCGAATGCGACTTCCAGTGTGGAAGGCACGATGTCAGCCAGTAAGAATTCCAGCATGTCCCTATGCCGTGCACCCTTCGAAATCTGGCCGATGTAGCTATAAAGTGTATCGGTAGCCGACAGTGAACTTCTGAATCCATTCCAAAGATAATATATCAATCCATTCCGCGTTTTTTCCCGTTCCGAAGACAGTTGAAGTGTATATGATGTTAAACCCGCCAAGTAAAGAGTAGGATCCGTCTCTGGAGGCCAGTACGCAGGAGACTGGCGGAAGAAGAATTCTAAGGGGGGACAGATATTGCTGCAATGAGAACGAATTTGCGAGACAACTTCTTGTACAAAGCTCACATACTCTTCGTGAGCAATGGCGTTGGTAGTCTGAAGCTTTTGCAAGTGCTGCTGCATTGAGAGCATGGTAGAATTCAGCAAGGCTGAGAACTTAGTCTTGACAGTCTCTCTGGTCACATTGCCAAATGTGGAAGCAAGTAACGTTTGGTCCGAGAAAATCTTCTGGATTCTGATAATAGCGCCTAGACTGGTTAACACAAGTTCAGATCATATATATGAAAGCTTACCTTTGATAAAATGTTGATTCCTCTTTACCGAGGGTGCTTCCTCCGTTAAAGATTTGGAAGATGCATCGTTTATAGTCTCGCTCGCAAGGAGAAAGTGTCCTTTCTTCAATAGTTGATAAGTCAAAGCATTCTCCCAACGAAGTTCGTGCTGTGGCTTGGAGACAGCTATCATCCATTCTGATCCAACGTCGAAGCCAGGAACCTGCAAAGCTGTCAGTAAATTAAAGGCATTTAAAGACACCTGGAATTGCTTACATTAGAATGTAATGATTTTGTGTGCTCAAGTAGCTCACTGAGATACAGCGGCCAAGCTAAAAGCGTGCAATGCGATTTCTCTCGATGTTCAAAGACTGCGTTTGCACCGACAGTTAGGAAGGCCTTCGGAGACTAGTATTGCCGTTAGCATAATATTAGAGCAGCGGTTTTTGAGAGATCATACGTAGATGCCGAACTTTATAAAAGCGGAGATGAAGTGAGCCCAGCACTTGATCAAGCGCCCTATAAAGAAGTAATTGGTCGTATGTTCTAGTGGAACCGGGCCATCATGCAATATTATTTGAACTAAATCTCGAAAGTTTGAAGTGATTGCACGATCAAGCGGCTGACAAAGTTAGCTTTGCGAAGCAAAAGATACGAAAGGGAGTAGAGCATACGTGTAGATAATCGTCCATGAACTGCATTTCTTTCGCCCAGTCGGGATCACACTCCAAGCCCTGGCTGTCGAATTCTTCATCTCCATCTGGATTTGCTTCGGATTTGCTCTCTGGCTCTGCGTTATTCAGTTGATGCATATGGCAGTTGAGAATTTCGATTGCAGATGAGGTTAATTCTTGGTCAATTTTATCCTTGGAGGAACCTATAGATAACATTTTCGCAAGCATGTCTAAGGATAGATCAGCACATAACTCTGCCAATAACAAGTCCCACAACAAAGGCCCTTCTTACCTAGGTTTATGGCATGCTTCAAGGTTGTTGAATTTGTGCATTTCAATGATTCTATGGTCGATCTTGCCACAGCTTGTATACAAGACATGGTGCTCTCTCGATTACAGTCAACATCTGTTTGGAAAGTTCCGTCTGATTGAATATGTAGTTGCTGGCGAACTTGGGTTAGTTCCACATATTCTTCGAGCAGACTATTAAAGAAGGAGTCCTGCCAAGTGACAAATGGTCCATATGATTCAACAGTGAAACTGGTAGGAATGTTAGACAAGGTGAACCGAGCAAGTCGTTCCCAAGCCCTCAAATTTATTAAAAAGGCTTCGTTATGTGAGTGAGCAGCCGAAACAAGCTTCTGCAGCAAGGTGATGGACGGCCCGTAACCTGGTGGGGCAGCCCAGTATACTGTGCACAGAAGGTCATGATGGTTGCGCAACGAGGCAAGATCACGATGAAAAATCGCCTCTTCTTTTGGAAATTGTCGATCATGGTTTGGCAAGATCCGCGCAACCAGATTCCTAATACCTTTAGTATCGCCTACTGCACGCTGATGCCTGATTGCAATGGCCACCAATTTGAGAAAAATATGAAAGCAGCGGTCTTCTGGTTCGATATCTAGTGGAGATTCTATAGTCAAGTCTTCCAGAAACTGAGGTGACTTATAAACCTCTTCATTTCGTAAATTCGCGAGCTTCTGTAAGGCAAAGCAATCAAACAGAGTGCCAATCATCCCGCTGCACTTCCACCAACCCCATTTTGACATCAGATAATGACATCGACTCACAATTGCTCTGCAGTAATCGTTGAAGCTTGGTGATTGTCTAACATTCGACGCATAAAGTGCAAATACCCTTTTGATCAATTGCTGCGGAAGTGACCAATTGTCGAATCCATTTTCCTGCCATGAAACCGACGAAACGTAACCATACTCATCAAACCCGAAAAGTGGCAGAAGAGAGAACATGGAGAGCCACAGATTTTCCATCGAATTGGCATCCTGCAACGAACTTATACTTTTGATGCCCAATTGTATGTTTGCAACGTCCCAAAACGAAACTCGTGGAATCTTTGCAGCCTTTAAAACATGAATGATAATGACCCAAGATTCAGGGACGTAACGATCGTTTCTTATGCCACCCTCTCTTACAGACAGATATTGCAGGTCGTCGTACAACTTTCTTACAGATTCTAAGCCTTCCGATATCAAGAGGCCGATGCAAGAACTTGCCAATTTTTGCAATAATTCTTCGAGACGAAGAGTCGATACATGTGAACCTTTTCTTGAAAGACGTAGTAATCGAAGTGAGAGCACCAAAAGTCTAGTTGTGACCTGAATTGCTTGCCGATTGTTCACAATAGACACATGACATGTATTGAGGCGAGATGAAAAGTCTTCTAGTATATCTAACATTCGTAGCAAAAATTCAGATATCAACCCAGAACTTGAGAAATTCACACCATGCTGTACATAATCCAAAAGAAGATTGCTAGTCGCGATCAATTCAGACTTATTTAGCACCTCAGATGTATCAGTAAGTTTTTCTGCTAGCCAGTCAACGCAAACGCCCATTTGCTCGGAGACAATGGCATTCCAGGTTCCCCATATGAAAACATTGTCTCCCACTTCAATGGACGTCGCAGGCCTATTATCATCAGATAAGTCGAGGTCTATATTGTTCAGAGTGTTTGCAAGGCACCCACTGCCAAGGAAGGTAGTCTCATGGAAATATGTTCCCGCCTGTAGTGGAAAAACATCAAAATGTTGAGGATACCTTGTGCCAAATTTTCCTAGACCAAAAAGTTTCCCTTGGTCGGTGCCTACTTCACTCAGTGCAGGCGCCAGAAAGGACGATACGAGTGGCTCACTCGGTTGACGATAGATAGCTGCACCTGCATCTAAACGTTGGGGTAACCGCTTCCGAGGTCGAGGCTGCTTCGCCACCTTCTTTGTGAGACTGGCTGACATCACATCATCGTCCCCATTGGGAACATTGGATTCTATTGAAGGATGTACGACATCATCATCGGCCAAGAAACGGCTGAGTTGGAGATTTCCTCGCTGTAAAGGCTGCTGGCGACTCATACGAAAAAGGGCATCGAGGGTCTTCTTCCTCGGTTCCAGGGTTTTGGTAGGGAACTGCTTTGCTTCAAGTTGCGCTGATCGTGCGGATGGTGCTGCAAAAAAAGAATTTGGGCGTGGCCTGTGTTTAGTCTTGGTATTGACTGTTGAAGCATTGTTCGATGGAGGCATTTCTGGTTCCACATCTCTATTCGCCACAAACTCGTTCATCGAGAGCTGCCTTGCTCTGGGTACGCGAATTTTCCTTGTATTGGTGTATCCGGTATTCGGCTGAGACTTTCGCAGGCTCGCCTGGAGATTCATAATGGGTGGCGGAAGCTTCGTTTGATGATTGGCAGAGATTTCAGTAAGCGGATACGCGTTGACATTTTCGGGTCGAGGGATGTATGAAACATTCCCAGGCCTGATTTTGCGGTTCGTCCAATCTTGTAAGACTGATTGGGCATCAGCAGTATCTTCGCGAGTCGCAAGCCTGATAAACTTCCGCGTTGGACTTTGACGTCCAAGTTCCTTTCGTGATCTCGCGCTTCTAGCCGCTACCTTGAGGAATGCCGGTGCATGTGGCTCGAAATAACCGGCATTCTCAGCAACGTCTAATATACTAAGCTTGGGCGGTGTCTTCTTTAGCCGTCTTCGTTTTGGTTTACTGGCCTTGCGCATAGCTGGAGCTATAGCCGCGAGGTGCGAAGTTATCCTCGGTTGGTATGATTGTGATGGTTGATTCCAAATATGAGATGAAGACTTCATTAGACGTTTAGCATTAGGCTGCTTCAATGAACTCCTGGCTACACGTTTGCGACTTGGAGTTGGCAGCATACCATCGACACGATCATCTTCAATAGCAAACCCGAAAGTCGATTCTTGAAATAGGCTAGGAGCTCCAGTTCGTTCGTCATCTTCCATGAGAAATCCTTCGAAATTGTTCTCATCGTGCTCATCACTTTCGTCAGATTCTAAAAATGCAAGTTGGTTGGCAGGTTGCGTGGAAGCTGCTTGATTAGATCCTCGCACTACAGGAAGAGCAACTCCAACACCAGCACGCTTTTCGTTGCCCTTTTGATGATTCCTTGCTTGAAGTTTTAGTTCTCGTGTCTCTTTTCTTTTTTGATCAAGTCTTAGATGGGATGCAGGTAGTACATGTTTCATCTTTTTCTTCAAGAATACCATTTCGTCCTCTTCTTCCGAAGATGACGACGACGAGGATGAACCAGATACCGAAGAAGGAATTTCTATCGGATCGGCAAACGGATCCTCTGCATCCAAAATTATTTTGGAAGGGGATGTGTGTGAAGAGGCTTTGATAGCACTCGTAATTGGAGTGGGTACTTCTGTGATTCGCCGAGATTGCGGAGAGCTCTGATCCAACCAAACAGGAGCTGAGGCAGGTGAGGATGTAACAGAAATTACACGAGACGTAGGCCTTCGTACAGTTCTTGAACGAATGGGGGAAGAACCAGTCGAAGAAGAGCTGGGGAAATCGTAGATGTCTAATCTAGGTTCTTTATTCACACTTTGGGCTTGATTTGGCAACTTCGGTCGATTTTTAGTTGAGTACTTCTTCGACGGTCTCTTCTGCTTGGGCTTTACTAAATTTGACTTCTGTCTGAACAAATCTGGAAGGTCTGGAAATTCATGGTCGCTATCCTCTTCATCTTCCCCCAATGTAAGAATAGCTGGCTCCTTGATGGTCTCGCGTACGCTGTCTGCTAATAGCGACTGTGATAAAGAGCCTCCAGTGAGCGTAATGGGCTGGCTTTCTTCCATGTCACCAGCTTCCGCCTCTTCTGGGTCTTGAAAATCCCTATCCCACGATTCTTGATTATGCATGACTCTTTTCTTTCGACCAGGTTCATCTTGGCTTTGTGGAATTCGAATGGGTTTAATGTGAGAAGCCTTCATCCTCCGCTCGTACCGTTGTTGCTCCAAGAGAAATGGATGTATTTGCACAGGCTTCCTTTCTCTAAATTGCCTCCTCGGAAGGTAGTCTGGGTTACCGAAGCCGGGTTGCGCTTGTGCTGGAGACTCCTCACGTATCTGCTCTGTGGGTCTTGAAAGTATGGGTTGTTGGACAGGAGATGAAAGAGGCTGTGCCACTGGAGACGATCGAATAGGGCTTGTTGGAGGCGATGACAGGATGCTAGATTCTGGGGATAGAGTTTTGATCCAGCTTCTGGAAACCTCATCAGCCTCTGCTTCTGGAGTGGGCTCAGGCAAGAATGTAGTCGCTCCAGTTTCGATGGGTTGCTCTTGATTCTGTTTCACACTGCCCGAAGAGTCTCTCGTAATTACTTCCGTCGGACTGTCAACTAATTTGACATTGACTATATCAAAAGATTGGATCATGTCAACGGATGAAGCTTGAGACATTCCGATCTCCTCAACCATATCTCTCGTATTGAGACATGCTTCTTCATCCTCTCTTCTGACATTGTTGATTTTTTCGAGAACATCGTCGATATCATGAAACTCGTCGTCTGCGGCATTGTCTCGTATCCCATGATTTATAGTATTTTGGGAATCAAATTCTTCTTCATCCTCAGAATCTGGAACCACACCTTTCTCCTTCCAATTTGCCATTTATGTCGAATAACATGTTATAGTCGAAAAGTATAAGTCCTTTTCGAAGCGCGAGTCTGAAGGGATGGTTGGTTACCTATTGCTTTTTGAGGTTGACGCGACTGAACCACTTTACGCGACCAACTTTTTACGGTAGTCGAGGGAACTACTAGTGCAGTTCTTAGTCATCTTTGTAACCTATGATTCGCTCATGTGAAGACCTCCACTGTCCACACAGGAATCTCATCAGTACAAACTTCTGTTATCGGAGGCAACCATGAGTAAAGTTAAGGGAATATTCCCTTTATTCTTAGCCACAGCCTTTGGCATTGGTAATGGTATGTGGCATTACATTGTATCGGTAACGATTTACTGAGAATACTTTAGGCATCTGGGTTTTTGGACCAGCGTTAAAAGAGCAACAAGAAAACAACTTGCAGGCAAAGTAGGTACAGTGAAGGTTGAGATTTAAAAGATCGATTTGCTTCATATTTGTATTCCGATTGACTAAACCGGTATAGGGCAGCTTTTGAACACCCAATTCAAACCAAGGAAAGCGAAGTGGCTAGGATGGCAGAAGTAGAAGCAAGTCGCGCTGCTACTACGAAAACTTTGTTAAACCCATCTGAGACTCCAGAGGCTTCTTGGTGGCAGTCTGCCAAATTCTGGACAAGTTCTCAGCCAAAATCCAATGGTAAATCAGAATCGGAACCAAAAGAACCGATTGCTGAGGTGAAGAAATCATGAGCGTGTCATGGTTCGTCTTGCATATCTACCATGCTATTAGTGCTGATCTCGAGAAGAGAAATTGCAGAGGGTGTTCTTTTCGGTTCGAATCCTGCTGGATTTTAGTCTGGTACCTATTTACTGTAACATAAAGTACTTACTACTTAGCACTATACCGAGGCCGATAACACGCATTTGAACAATATACCAAAAATAGATTTCTATCTAGTGAAAAAAGAAATTTTAGAATCTGTATAATATATTTATAGAAATCTTAAAAAGAATAATAGAATTTAGCTTTATTGAAGACTTTTTGTGAAAAAAATTATATCATTGAATAGCCCTTAGGGTTAACTTTATTAATATCTTTTTAGAATTGATTTCGAAATTTTCTATAAGAAGTATACTAATATTTAAAATCTATTTTCAAATAATTTTTCTTAAAATACATAAACCATTTTAGAATAAACAAAAAAAGCTTAATAAGAATTCTTCTCATCTAAAGCTCGAGCCCAAACTTATCTCGCTTAAATCATATAACTAATATAGCTTCAAATAGTTCCTATAATATTTAAAAAAAATTCAATTTAATACACAACTTTAAACAAATTAATAAAATAAAATAAAAAAAAGAAATGATTATTAATTAGAATTCAAAAAATCGATTAATATAATTGCTTTTGAATTATCTCAAAAATTGGAATTTCTATCAAATTTGATATAATTCTAATCAATAAATCTATTTCTCAAATATTACTAAGACTTAATGATTAATCACAACTTATATGAATTAATAACTAATTAAGCCTTAAGCCTTAAATGATATCATCAATAAGAAAAAAACTATTCAATCCAATACACAACTCTAAAAGAATTAATGAAATAAAAAGAAAAGAGATATACTTCTTAATTAAAATTTAAGGAATCGATAGATATAATTATTTCTAAATTATCTCAAAGATTGAAATTTATATTGAATTTAATAATATTTGAAAAATAAAAAACTGAATATTTCAATTTAATCTTTAATCTCTTATTCATCAAATATTACTAAATTGAATTTAAATTTCAATTTTTAAGATAATTCAAAAGCAATTATATCAATCGATTTCTTGAACTCTAATTAATAATTATATTTCTTTTCTTTTCATTTTATCAATTCCTTTAAGGTTGTATACTAAATTGAATACATTTTTCTATATAAAAGCACACCACTAAATTCTAAATATAGTTTTAATTTAAACGAAAATCTATTTTTAGTATATTGTTCAAATGCGTGTTATCGGCCTCAGTAACTATGTCACACGTGGCCCTCACTATCGCATGTTCATTACTTGATCACCAATCGTTTGAAGGGTCAGGTTCGTTGATGGTAAAATTTTCACCATGTACATATAAGACGAGAATAAAAGAACTCGTTCAAAATACGAAACCTGGAGAGCGTCGTTTCATTAATTCGAGAGATGATACTCGAGACCTGATTATTTTTCAATCTTTGAAATTTATGCGGTAGTCATTCCAAAATGTCACTGTAGTAGTTTTGCAATAATCATTCATGAATTTTGATATTCATCAAAATGATTAGGTTTGTGTTAGTGCGGTCTGGCATAATACCAAACGACAAGTAAGCCGCCGCATTGCTTGCAACAGGTACTATTTGGGCTCACACAAGATCAAGCATGACGCGTGGGGCAACGAAAGTGGGAGAGCGGTACAGTAAGCAAAAGCGGTGCCTCCAACTTTCATCTATTACAACAGAGCCCACTGCCCATTAGATTGACATACAGCAATTCTCCGAGTCAAAATGCCTCTCTGTGAGTACTGCAGCGCTATCGAATTTGAGATGCTTCGCTGTCCAACTATCGAGGAATTAATATCTCTCAATGTCAAATCGGGGATTCCAGATTCTTATCCCTTCAAGTCATCTTCTCATAAAAGAGACAGACCCAAGTTTAGTCTTGGCTTTCAATACCGCGTACGCCAATCCTCATCTGAATGTCCTTTTTGTTCAGCAATTTGCGATGTTTTGTCTGACCAAAAAGACAATCATATGCGCGACCTGGACTCCTTCGAATGTGTTGCTTCTATCGTAGCATGTGCTCGTGTAGTACCCGTCAAGGCTATGGCGTGGGGACCTGAGTGCGAATTCATGCATTTGTATAGGATTGACTTGATTTGGTATCCGATAGGAGAAGGAGAGAAAATTGATAAACCAGGACTTCGTACAGATACTGAAACATTCCCGTGGTACTTCATAAATGATGCTTTTCAAACCTGCGACGGAGAAGTATGTGATAACGATATCAGGATTGGGAATGACAACCAGAAGGCGGCTGTCTTTTCTGGAAGGTTAAGACCGAAGATCATTGATGCCAAACTTCCAGCTCAATGGCTTCGAGAATGCCAAGATAACCATGCGGAGTGTTCCCATTCAAAGCTCCCAGATCAAGCGCAGACAAGGAAAGTCCGTGAATTATCGGTCACAGGCACTGTGCTAATATTTTGAACAGTGAAATTTCAATATTTCGACTGATTGACGTGCAGGAAAGTAAGATTGTGGAGTTTCATGATATCAATATTGCATATTTTGAGTATGCAGCATTGAGCTATATATGGGGTGGCCCTCAAAAAACAGTTCTTTTAAAAGATAACCGGAAAGCGCTCCAAAAATCAGGCTCTCTCGATGGCTGCGTTTCAAAGACTGTCCAGGACGCGATGGGATTTTCACAACAATTAGGAATCCAATATCTGTGGGTCGATGCCCTATGCATAATTCAAAATGACGATTCTGACAAAGCCACACAAATTGGTAAAATGGGAAGCATATATGCCCATTCAAAAGTCACTCTTATCGCTGCTTCTGGGAAAAATTCTGAAGCTGGATTACCAGGATTCCAAACTCCTCGAATAGGGAAACAGACACAAACTCTCATTTCTAGGGTTGATACCCAGTTTTCTATGAAGCTAATGAGAACATTGAACCCCCATAATAATGGCTTCACATTCTCACACCAGCTTGATGATGCTGAATGGAGCCGGAGAGGATGGACTCTACAAGAAAGAGCACTTTCAAGACGCAGTGTTATTTTCACTGATCAACAGCTTATATGGGCCTGTAAACAGTGCCATAGAACTGAAGAGACGTACTGCGAAACTTCATTAGCACACACAAGCTGGTTTAGGCTTCAAGAAACAGAATACTTTCTCGATACCTCCCTTCGCAGCTTCTTCGCTTCTGATGATGTTATTGAACAAACTTGGTATCGATTTAGACTTCTAGTCCTTGATTTCACTAAAAGGCAGCTTACTAAACCTGGGGATGCGCATGACGCTATTCATGCCATCCTAGAACAAGTCAAGCAATTAACTGGCGATACTTTCCTATGGGGATTGCCTACAATGAATTTTGAGATGGGGCTTTGTTGGGAACCCAGCTCACCACTCGGCGTCAGGAGAAGGAAGGATTTGACGGTGTTGAAAACTACATCTTTGAATAGAAGAGTACCATTTCCATCCTGGTCTTGGTTGGGCTGGCATAATGCAATTAGTATACGTGTGGAGGAAAGGTATCGAGATCTAGGGTGAGTTTCTGTGGTTTCTCTTTCGCGAACAACTTAATATGAAAGGTAAATAACGCTGTGTACGGATACAGTATGGATCCCGAGATTATATGCTATGTACTTCGAAATTCACCACTCCGATTAATTCGGGTACCAAGAATTTCTTCGGACGTCCCTGGAGGACAAACTCGTTTTCATCCGTTGCAATCACAACAATCTAGCCCAAATGCGATTTCATTGAAGGACATTCCAAAGCACTATCCAGACTTGGGAATTGACAAACTTGACGACATCCCAGATGACCAACTCATATTTTTCTGGGCGGAAGTCGCTCAGTTCGAGGTCTCGAAAATCTTGACGATGAAGACCGAGAGTTCCAAAAATACACCATGGGAACCACGATATACCTACAAGTACCGTGATATCAGGGATACGAATGGCAATGTGGTTGCGCAAACAGCATATTGTGATTTCGAAGAAGAAAATACGCGGGAAGATGGAACATCAATTATAGAAGAGCCTGGAGCTGGTGGCGGTACTTACGATTTTATCCTAATTGCCAACAATAACCCACCAGATCCGGAATCTAAACCTTCCAAAATTGTATTGCAGGTCGAGAGGAAGAATGGAGTCATGTATAGGGTCAACAATGCAGAAATACCAGAAGAAGTTTGGAAAAGATCGGAAGCAAGAAGGATGCTAGTGGCTCTTGGGTAAGGATAGACTTGCTGAATAAAATGAAACAAGAAAAGGATTTCTATAAGGTCAAAGTGGAGAGAGTTATGTTGCTGAACCTGAAGATTTTGGAGGCGCATTTTGCTAATGCTAGATGGTTTGTTTGGCTCAACAACCTTTCAACTGGTTCACGTCGTAGCAGAATCAACTAACAACAAAGACAGGTGGACCAACAATCAATCATCAAGCCAATGAATCCATGAAATGCAACTAATGTGTTTGGTATTTGGTGTCATGTGAAATTACCAGCCCAGAGAATGAAATGCTCCAAGAGAGGAAACCAAAGTCAATCTCTATCAAATCAAGATTGGATAGCTAAGATGTTCTGCTGAACTATCAGTCTCGAAAATCTCTGGTGACTGAGTACTTAGAGCTGATCTGCATGCCGAGATACAGCAATGTGAAATTCGTTAACATCGGGCCGTGGCAATATGTTGTTGTAGATGTGATGTTTGATGGATGCTGAGATGCTGTTGATGTATAGATACCTTTAAAATTAGATATCTATACCAATATCATCAATATTAATGCAGGAAGGTACTCCAGAAATTCATGGTTTATAACCTTTTTTTGTAAAATCATAGTCCCCAGATTCTTTGCAAATGGATTGTCTGAATTATTAGATGTTGTCGCACAGTTAACAAAAACTGATGCCTGAATTTATCTTCGTGGATGCCTGATTATGAAGGATTACCTATCATTAAATTCGATGAGATACAAAGAAATATTTCAAACATTTCTACGATCGATTTCCAATTTACCCCCTTGAAGTATTCGCTCGATAAAGAGCGCGAAAACATACCGGATGCACGCCGTAGCATTGCGAGCTCTTCGCACACATAGAAACCCTCTCTCGCGACAGACATGCCGAATCATCGCAGGCTGCAGATTTCCCCCTCCCCGGCGCAACTTCCACCGTTCAGCAATTTCCTATAGTACACCCGACGACCCAGCAACCCCGCAAAATGACAAAGAGGCAAGAGCAGATATAGAGGATATTCCACGGATACCTGAAGATGGAGAGCAGGAAACCTCAGCAGATGTCCCGCAAACCCCTGCGGAAGCAGAATTAGAGAATCCAGTGGCAGAAGATTCTATACAGCCAGTCGAAAATGTAGACCCTGAGCAAAGGTCTCGGGGGAGACTCTCGGGGAGAACCTTACGAGCAAATCGTCAAAAACAGCCGGAGGGTCTGCCACCGATAATATTGCCGGATTGGTTTTGGAATAATGTCAAACTGGTCGAGGAGCTACCGCAGACAGGCTCACTCGCTGTTTACTACGGCGGTAACGTTCCAGAATTTGTTGAAAGTTCGCCAGGCCCCGAAGCGACAGAGAAGATGAGTCATGTAATCAAATCTATCGTTGAATGCGACCTCCCTCCTACCGAGAAAGCAAGATATAGCATGCATGTTGATGTTTACAAAGAAATATTGGCATCCGTCAGAGCGGGACTGAAGTTGCGTCCTTCACAGGCTGTCTTGGATGGAAAAAATATCATGAGGCCTATTCTCCATTTGCTATGCCCTAGAGACGGAGGAACGTTATATCTAGACTCTGTCGTGGAGACCATTTCGACCAAACTAGGAGCTGATCTTATACGTTTGGATCCAGTCGATATAGCCCAGATTTTAGGGCCATATATCGACGAAAACCTAGCCTGGACGGGGTCGAAAGCATCGCTTTTGGGTTACGAAACTTCTAGAATGGCGGGCAGGCTGGAGGATTATGAGAAAGATTCAAGCACGGTCCCTGAAGATGTAGAGGGGGTTGAGGAGGAAGAAATTACGGGCATGAGTAAAAAGGCTGGTCCCGCAATTGCTTTCACCGCGTCAAATTCTTCCGAGGCACAGAAAAAGCTCTCGGCAATTTTTAGCCGGTTAAAGGGGGCCCTCACCCCAGCAGCGGAGAATAACAGGCGTTCATCAGATGTTGTGATGCCATTTGCTACTTTCGCCGACCCCAACTTTTCGGCATCTAGCAATGGCAATTCGTCCTTTGGCAACGTGAAATCTAACGCTGAACAGTGGAACGATTTGAAGACTACGGCTTTACTTGAGTCATTTGTTGCTGCCGCCGACTCAAAACGTGCATCAGAGTCTTCAGGTGCGGATGCAACCAATCCCAAAGATCTAATCATACAAGTTCGTGATTACAAGGATTTGACTAGAACATATGATGGTTATAATATTATTGATAAACTGCGGACGGTGGTCACAAAACGCTGGCAGTCTGGACGAAATATAATCATGGTTGGAACAAGTTCATTGGAACAAGGAGAATCCGAGCTCTCATCAGCAGGTATTCAACATCTTCAATCAGACGTAGTTGAGGGCGAGAAACGAACTATCTTTGTCCCGCCAGACCGAAGAGCGGAACAGGATATAATATTCGAATCTGACGACAAGTTACGTATCCGAACTTTGAACATACGGCATGTTGAGGATATGATTACAAAACTTTCGGGGGATACGCCCGTGACTGTGGATATAGAAAAAGATCTCGACGTCGCTTGGGTAGCATCTGCCGGTTTAGAGGATGCAGTTTGGCATTACGCCCGTGTGCAAAGGCTTGCAACGACTATCCTAGGATTAGAAAATAACCCAGAGATCATAGATGGGCCAACATTTTGGAAAGCTCAACAGCTGCTCTCCGAAAGTGACAATGCAAAATTTTCTTGGGGCGCAGCAGAATTGAAGGAGGAAGATAATGATGTGAACAAGATGCTTGATGAGATCAAAGATTCCCCGAAAAAGACAGATATCAAAGAAAAGCTCAAGCGGATTCGAAAAACGTGTACTCCTCATGAGAAAAAGCTGCTCGGGGGTGTCGTCATACCGTCGGATATTCATACCAAATTCGAAGATGTTCACGCTCCAAAGGAGACTGTAGAGGCACTAAAAACATTGACCAGTTTGTCATTGATACGACCAGAGGCTTTCACTTATGGTGTTCTGGCTACTGATAAAATGCCTGGTTTGCTCCTGTATGGACCTCCTGGAACCGGTAAGACTCTATTGGCTAAAGCAGTAGCGAAAGAGAGTGGCGCAACAGTTCTTGAAATTAGTGGTGCTGAAGTGAACGATATGTATGTTGGTGAAGGCGAGAAGAATGTCCGAGCGATCTTTTCACTAGCCAAGAAACTGTCACCCTGTGTTGTATTTATCGATGAGGCAGATGCTATATTCGCTGCCCGTGGTGATACCAAACGCTCAACTGCCCACAGAGAGATGATTAATCAATTTCTACGAGAATGGGATGGCATGAACGATTTATCTGCCTTTATTATGGTCGCTACTAATCGACCATTCGACCTTGATGAAGCTGTACTACGCCGACTGCCTCGAAGACTTCTGGTTGACTTGCCTGTTGAAAAGGATCGCGAGTCTATTCTCAAGATCCACCTTAAAGATGAGATTATCGATTCGTCGGTCTCTCTCGCCGAACTTGCGAAAAACACACCCTTTTACTCTGGATCGGATTTGAAAAATCTTTCGGTCGCAGCTGCATTGGCATGTATTAGGGAAGAAAATGAACTCGCCACAAAGCACGAAGGTGATACCCCCTACACATACCCCGAGAAACGAATCCTCACCAAACAACATTTCGACAAGGCAATGGAGGAAATTAGCGCAAGTATCAGCGAGGATATGAGCACACTCTCTGCAATTCGCAAGTTTGACGAAAAATACGGTGATAGGAAGGGAAGAAGGAAGAAGAGTGCTGGATTGGGCTTCGGTGGTACGACAGTTCCCGAAAAGGATTCCGAAGCGGGAAGAGTCAGAAAATCACCAGTGGCGGCGTAGATACAAGGGCATATATTTGATTACAGTTAGAGGCACAAATGGCTCGCATTTGGGGCTTTGCATCGGTGGCGTGCATATCACATTCACGAATTGCATGATAGGGCGTCATGGTCATTGTATAATATGTGGCTGGGAAGGTAAATGCTATGTTACACATAATTTTGTAGCAATAAACTAGATCATGACTTGACGTTACTGTCTTCTTTGATGATGGATTGATCATGTGCGTGTTGGAATGTTTCATCGATAGTGATACTCAAACAGGTGTTCCTTCCATGACGGTAGCTTGATGTATCATTGAAATTAAATTTCGAGCAAGACGACGGGCACTAGAGAATTCGGTGCTCAATAATAAATCCAGACAACGGATTCACACTCCCTTCCTAATCTTGTCCCAAGTTCAAGGAGAATATAGGAACTCGATCATATCTACTCTCGGATGCTTTTGCCTCACTCCTGCTTCATAATATAGCCTATTCATTCCCTCCTTGATTTCGGGACAGAAGAATACACAGAATTTGTAGTCAATCCGATGTTATCATGTGAAATCTAGTTTCTCCTCATCACTTTTCCTGCTTTCTACATCCCGTTTCATCTTTTGATCGATTTGAAATTATCAAGTGGTGACGATAATCTATTTTAATTCCGGCTCCTCTTTCCTCTAGTATGTATTAAAATTCTCTATCCTCTTGCTACTTTCGAAACATGACCTGTTTATCCTCATCGTCCTTGACAGGAGCAGAAACGAACTAAATACATGATTCATTTGTGGAGAAAAGTATGATGATCTGAAGTCATGGTCAGATTATCATGTTGACTTCAAATTTCCGGTCTCCTTCCCTCCCTTCTGATCTTCTAAAACCTACTACCTGTCTTAGGAGTAATATTCTGTTTCTTCTTTTATTTGGTTTCCTATTGATTGAAAAACTCTTTTCCTTTTCAGTATGTTCACACCCTTTGATTCCTTTCGATACTATACCTCTCCTTTTATCTCCTGTCATACAGATTGAAGTACTCCATTTCTCTCCTTAAACTATGGAGAATATTAAATTTGGTTAAAATCATCACTTCCAAATCAATCTTAAAATGCACTTGCAAGTATTATGAAGAATGAACTTGCCGTATCGATGTATCAGCAAATGAAACTTTTAGTTCCCGCTCAACTGTTGATAAACAGCTAGGATGGACCTTCGAGGTATTAATGCTTAGTATTAAGCATAATAAAAGGTACTTACATTTAAAGAGAAGCTAGGATAGCAACATTACTATGCGATGCGAAGGATATAAAAAGACTAGTAGTCTCACAGTAAGCGCTGTTCCACAATACCGAGCATAAAAAGCGCGGAGGAACATCCCAGCCGGATTGACAGAATTGACAGGCGAGTTCATGATCAATTACCATAGGTTGACGAATCAATGAACTAGAGGGTTTCCCTCTCCTTTACGCTTTGAGGCCGTTTCGAAACGGTTCCCCAACTCCCCTGAAACTGTCAACTAGTTTTTCGCGTGCATGGTCCTCGTGATATTTCTTGGCGACGGCCAATTATTAACGGCCTCGACCATACGGTTGGTACAGTGCGACGTTCTTCGTCGTACAGATGTTAGTTCTGAAGATCCATCGATCAGTAATGAACTTGGCATCGGTTTTGGCGTCATGTTGCACAATTCCAAGACTTCTATTTCAGAATGGGACTAGACGCATGCAGAAAGACCAATATGATTTATGAAAGTAATACCCACCATGCTTTGGCCACGATTTTGCTTCTACATTCTCTGGCAGAAAGCCCCTTTTCCTATCTCTCCTATTTCTCAATTAATAATTTTAATCGGTTTGTTCAGCCTGGTTGCTGCGGGCGTGTATACTACTTCACATGAAATATACTTAATAAATTTATCTCTTCATCACTTCGTGGCCTATCATCCTCTAAGATGCAGCCACTTACTCTCTTGGTCTTGCTTTTTGCTAGCACATCTTTCGCAGCAACCACTACCACCACTTCAGCAGCAAAGGCCGCTTCGCCAGTAAAGATTGCTACACCCAAAGTCCTCAAACCTGCAACTCCACCTACCGCAAATGATGTAAAAAACTCACTTGACAACTGGGCCACATCTGTCAATACTGTCAATGAATATCGTAGGTCTCCCCTTCTCACTCTAGAAACCTAGTCACCCAATCTAACCACACGCACAGTCGACGATCCCAACAACTCCACGAAACTCAAGACCGCCATCGCTTTCGCCAAAGATGAACCCGTCCAACTCGCCACCCTGATGAAAACTCCCAACCTCTCTCCAGACGGTATCAAATCCGCCAAAGTTCTCATGGCCAATTTTCCCTCCATCGTCTCCAATCTGCAAAATGTGTATACAGGAGTCATGACCACGCAAGATGCCACCATGGCTGTAAATTTCAATCGATGCTGCACCGTGCTCCCAAACATCGGGAGTCTGTGGGCTGCAGCCACAAATGCGAGTAAGGTGCAAGAGAGCCCGCCTCCAAATCTGGAAGCGCAATGTGGAATGATGAATTGTAATGCGGGAGTTAGTGGAGCGCAGACTCAGGCGATGTCAAATGTGACGGGGTCGGCAATGGCGTCGGGTCTTGCTCGGGTGAGATGAATCACGAGATATCAGAGGTGGGGAGAGTTTGGGGTGGTTTGAATTGGCAAGTAAAGATGTCCTTCTGGTGGCGTGACTTGCGCGCATTTTGATTTTATATACTGTATACTACTGGAGGATTTGGAAAGAAGAATAAAAATATCAAAATAAATATACCTACTCGTTATTGTTTGTTGTCGCACTGCTGTTGCGCTGTAGCTATGGTTTAACGAATGCGACAAACATATACTCTCCGTACCTGCGCCATTGCTCATTAAATACAAACTTTTCCAGAATCCAAGCTTGAAGGAGACAATAAAAATGGAGTCGCATTCATATGTAAATTGAAGTTGTTTTCTTATTGGTTATGTATGTATGGTTGGTGGGTAGCTATTGAACAATTCCTCTGAGAGACCCACAAAAAATTCAATTCACATATCGGCTCGAGTTTGGAAGGGCAAAAAAGAGCAAAAAAGGGCAAAAAATTCTGTTCTCAGTAATCAGCAGTCAAGGACTGAGATACCGCCATGATAGCGGGTAGAAGTCAAATCTACAACATAGAATATTTAAAGTAGCCCCGAACCCACTGTAAAGCCAAAGTCCCCACACTAGACAGATTATCCTCGAAAGGACTTTGCATCAGCCTTGCGCGATACGAGCCGCGCCAGGCCTCTGTTCTATTTGGTCTGTTTATCCACTACACCAGTGCACAACCATGTTGGCATGATTGGTTGCGAAAATGACATCAGAATAGATTATATCCATCTTGTTTGTGTGGAATGGTGAATAGAACGGAGTATGTAGAGACCGACCCATTTGAACTATGCGGCATATTGTATACCGCCATTATTTGCCGTCACATAATCATATCAACCCACATTGAGATCTTGAATAATACCATCAACACTACTACCACACATCCAACCCTATCAATCACTAATTGTAGCAAGTTCGCGGAAGAAGATGGAGGTACGAAACTTTATCTAATGTTTGCTTGCCAGTTGGCATGAAGATAACTACCTAGTACTGCTGACCAGACCGCACATCAGCTTGTTAACATAGACCGGGAAAGATACACTGCGTCCATAATTATGATGGCGAGCGCGTTGAGATTCCCTCGCATGACCAACAACTTTTACAAACTTGTCAACGAAGTAGGCTATTTAGCATTCGCCGTTCACGTGTGCGACTGTGATGAATTTGAACTTCTCTGCAAGAAGCCGAAGCGCAATAAAACGAACAAAAGAGTGTTCTTTGTGACACGGAAAGAAGTCGATGAGGCTTGGCGCACGCTGTGCGAAAGCACTTTTGCAGTATGGCCAACACCAGAAGATTGGTCAGAAGAGCGAAAGCAAAAGTATCTTGAGACACAACTGAGCCAGGTATGAGCCAACTCTCGCGGATACCTTTGAGAGACTTAATGCAATGCTGACCTCTTTAAGCCGAGATTGAACAGCGCCGAACGGTTCTGGGCGAATAGAAGACGCCTGGTTTCCAACACAAAGAACCGCAAAAAGATAAGGCACAGAAGAAGAATCATTTATACAAACTAGTTAACAAAACGATAGCACGCTGCTGAAAACCTTGCTTGGTCGAACAGAATACGCCTCTCTCTCAGCTCAAAGACTGTTGGAATCGTAAGGCGTAAATGATGCAATATGTGCAAACTTAGCTAATGAAACATAGTGTGCCCTTTCCAAATTACAAATGGTGGATGAGGCCAGTGAGACGAATGTTAAGGCAAATTCGAAGGCATCAACGACTGGAAAACAAGGAAAACTGGCTGATGAATCGACTCTTGACAGACTGGAAACTGCTGCACCATTAGGTGAGACCGATCCAGGAGTGATGATGACCGAAGAGCAGGGCAGGTTAGCAAAACGACTGTCCCTTGTGCAGTTGGATGGTGTCGGCTCCAGGAATGATGCGTTTGGCGATGACGACGGGGATATTTGTATGGAGTAGTAGAGTAGAGGCGGGATACCAGGCTCAGAGAACATCGTTGGCATTAAATACAGAAATCATGGGGTTGGTGGGTTGAGAATTCATGTCTATAGGGGTAGCAACATGCTTATGCAGATGGGTAGCGAGGTTCAATGGTAATGATGTTTTGTGTCTTGAACGCTCAATAAAGCTTTTTCGTCCAAGCCACTCGACTTCTCTCTTCTTCACATTGGCTACATAGATGAGGAATCACTTCAAGGTTTCCTTAGCCAGTCTGCATTTACTGAGCCTATCGACAGAGACCGTCTACAACATCAGAGACACTGCAGCGCTATTGTTTTTTCCAGAAAGAATTGAACTGACACTGGCTCAGATTTAAGGAACACAACAACAAATATTTCATTGGGAAGTCCCGAGACATTGGCCTCATTGTACTTCATGAAAGAAGGTGTAGTATCATTTGCCCCAGCCAACAAAAATAAAGTAAAGCGAATCAAATCATTGGGAGTAGTCTACAAGAATATCAAATTCATTGATACAGATCGTCAACATGACTGCAAGATATTGTAGGGAGTTGGCTTCGCTTGAAGGGATTGATATCCTCATCCTCCAGGATACGAACGTACAACGGTCCATAATTCCATCCCACAGCAAGGTCAACTACTCAGACGCTTGACATTGCTCGGAGTGCCAAAGTGATGTTGTCAATTCAAGCATAATGCATTACAAAAATAAGCTGTTCTTACGACCATAGCGTCGAGTTTCTCTCCACGTATTTCCGCCGTATCTAAGCAGTGCGTACCCTCAACGAAAGCTGCGATCAACTACAACCCGGCTGATCCTAGCATTTGAGATATCTTTCTATGAATCTTCTACCCGGTGATTAGTTTCACCCCAGATACATGGACGTACAGATGTTTAGATGTGCAGGCTTTGATTAGGAATGAAGCCATGCATCCACATGTTTATAAGGATGAAAGCAGCGGTACACTGTGCGTCATACATATGGGCCATCTAGTAGTCTCTGAGACTTACGCTATCCAAATTTCAGAAAAATCATTTGACATATCGAGTTCTGTTTGGAGTGAAGTGTGAGAGTCTGGGAACCGAAGCAGATTTTTTTTGTCGACGTTCGTGTATGAGGTCACGTGTTGTTACAAGGCCGATATTTAGCCGTTGCAGGACAGCTCGGGACTGGGAAGTGTAGATGCAAAATTGAGGCTGGTGAGCTCCTTTCCCTTGAAGGTGTTTTTGAATCACGAAATCGGGTTATATTAACATAATTTTGTGTTTTCTAGCTCTTCTCATGGAATTCATCCAGAGAAATATTGATGACTAGTTGATATTTTTCTGCAGTACAAGAGCTAAGAACAGAGTAATGTGTATAATTACCAGTAGACGGAGAACACTTTGCAATAATGACCTTGGGGAAGGAGGGAGCATACTCGAGTGCACTAAATTTAATTAATCTGTTTCTCTGGGATTATGTATGGTATTCAAGTTGGTGCTAGCTATAGTGCCGTTGTGATTGGTAGAGGGTATTTTAGGAACACGATGTAAAATGGCATGGCATCGGGTCAGATGAGGTGGTTGATAATATAGTTCACGTTGATGACTATAATAAGTTATCGGTAGCATGTTGCGACCAGCCCTATAGTCATTTAGGGTGCTACACACGCTTGAGCTTCATGGATGCTTGTTTGAATGTTTGCTGATGACAAGGATATAAATATAGATGGAGAGAGCATTCATTTGGACATGATAAGACACTTAGTAACTTTAGTCAGTGAGGCAAATAGTAGGAGCATACTTGGGTAATTGAGAAAAAGTGTAATATTGATTATTGATACGCATTTGTCAATCATAAATATACAAAATGAATAGATAGCTATAGGGTGTGATATGTGGATTTGTAAGTGATGCATATGCGAGCAATGGAAGCCTCATAGTAAAGGAGGTCGCTAGAGTCTGGAAATTTCTCTATCACTCGAGTTATATTGTGACTCAAACCAAGGTAGATTGAGTGCAAACTCATGCCATGGTCAATGTCATGTAAAAGTGAAATCTTTACAAAACAAAACCAGACGATAATGCACTAATAATCGTTATTCGGACTTTTTCATCCATGTAGACTTACTTGGACGAATACTTTTTGAAGTATGACCTAGGATTGAATATTCAAGAGCTTGAATTTCATTTAATAGTAAGATGGGTGCATGCTAGACTCTGCTAAATCTACGAATAAGGTGCAATAAGGCGTTAGGTGGTTGTTCAATAGAGGAGGGGAATTTCTCAATGTAGACTGGTAAATAGAAGAGTTGTGTTTTATGTCAGAGAGGTAATATGTGATGGAATCTCGGGCCTTTCGAACTAGGGTAAGATATTGAGAAGAGCTATTTTCAGAAAATGGTGCACATTGTCAATCCAAAATAGAACTCCGATGAAGGGCATCATATGATCTGCTTCTGATGCTCAAAATAAATCAACTCAACGAGAAGATCCTGTTCAAATAGTCTGAACTTCTGGTTTAAATATGCATGGATGTTAAGAATTGCTGTTCCCCAATAGGAAGTCGGGGATCTGACTTCAGAGTGAAGCAGAGACATCAACGTCTACTGTCTGACGAAAGTAGATGTAATCTTGGGCTAGTGGAAAGCAGAGTAAATTCTTAGGTCAATAGATCGATGTACACCGCTCGAGCTTTCGAGTCTAGTCCTTCATGCCGAGCAAAGAACATGCTAATCTCTTTGAGTAGTGGACCATGCTTATTCGGTCAATCTGTTCACGGTGACAACAACGGGGTGCACACATACTATGGCACCTGCATTACCACCATTCGCTTGAGTTTAGTCTCATAATACTTGAATTTGTCTTCCAAAATGGGTTCTAAGATGCAACGAAGTGTTACATGAGAAGCTTGAATGATTCATTGATGGCTTGGGAAGCATTGCATCCTATGATTCTGCAGACAAGTTAGATAGATCTTGGTGGATGATGAGGGGAGGGTTATTAATAGTCCGATTGCGGGTCTTATAAACTAAGTTGCATGTGAAGTATGTTATTTCTGTGGACCCAAGCTATCAAGCGCCCGGGTAGCCGGGGAACCGCTTTGAACAAATACGGAAAGACTGGTATCTGACAGGACCCAACGAAATGAAAAAATACGCGTCTAGTTGAATTATATCCAACAGTTTTCTCATAAGCGACAAATATATATCAAGCAATCCACTTCCAACAGCGGCTCATTCGTACGCTGTATGCCAATCAAATGGTGTCATAAACATCTGAGATCGCAGATATCGGGTAAAGGAATGAGCAATGCGGGCCCAGTGCAAACCTATCATTCGTGTCAGTACATTCATTATCTTTTTGTGTAAAGATTCCCAAGCTAAATCATAAGATGATAAATCTTCAACGACTCTATGGCTTCGTATTGAGCGAGTCTGATTTTGTAGATATGTGACAAGATATCTTGGGTGATTGTGACTGGTCAAAGGACATAGATGTTCTATTTTTATATGAATTAGAAGGTTTTCAAGAAGTGGAAATTTTGAGTCTTGTATCAACAAGGTCGCGACCACATAGACGAATGGCTGGTTGAGTCGTCTTCATCTAGCCGATGTTCCGGCACTCGGCAAAAAGATCTGGAATTGACAGGCGGTATTAATCGGTCGACAAGGGGCACATGGAATGAGTGGACAGGAAGACAACACGGACAAAGACCGGAACTTTACAAGGTCGTTTAATGATATACGGGGAGACTTCTACCGCTTCGAATGTTGAATGTCACATGAAGATGGTTGAGATGTAACCCCGCCATTTTAGCAAATTGTGCCGAAAATAGCAAGTTACTCGGCATAGATGCATATTATTTTCTATTTCGAGAGTAATTAGCTGGCATTTCGGTTGTATTACGGCAACTGACCAATTCGAGTGGACAAAATTTGCATCAATTACAGCAAAACCTCTCTATAAGGATCCCCCCTATAAGGATAACCTCTTTATAAGGATATGTTTTTCGGTCCCAAAAATTTTTAGGGCTAAAAAAGATATATATCCTTAAAACCTCTCTATTAGGATATCCTTATATTTCTCGGTCCCAGGATTACATATATCCTTGTTGGGCCAATAAGATTATCAGGATTTGAGCTATTATATAATACTATATGGAGAATTTAGATAGACTCAATTGAAACCTAAAATATGTCACGGAAATGGCCCGATCGGGACTAATCGGAAGGATATTACTACTATATCGGGATTAAGCGGAACCTCTATACAAGGATACCTCTATATATCCTTAAAAAAGATTACAAAAACCGGTATCCTTATAGAGAGGTTTTACTGTAGCGATTATTTATTGCTATCAAGGCGAGAACGAGATCTGACCAGGTAAAAATGTAAGGATACAATAAGTGGCTGGTAAAAGACCCGAATAAGATATCAACTCTGAACTCATTCGCAGATGTCCAAAATATCGCATATAAGACTGATCAGAAGAATGGTAGGGCATGGCTCGGGTATTGGATAATTCCTGATTGTCACGAGAGTAGAGATAGATGCGGGATGTTTGAAGGTGGCGTTTCTGCATTTGAGGGAATGGACTTGTAAACAAGGGAATTCAATAATTGCGAGGATACCGAGGATACCTAGAAAGCACAATTTGAAGGTTACAAAATGTCACAATCAGATTAGAGAGAGTTGTTGCGAGGCTCCAGGGAATCAACTAACTTCGTCGTCTGATGGATCCACTGTGATAACAAAGTGAAGAACTCCCCAGATTCAGATGATAATTATCTTTAGCCTCGTCTCCTATTTTCAAAGTAAGAAATGGCGAAATAATGGGTGATTTCGAAAGATCATTTTTCCGGAGAAGGAGTTCAAACTGCAGTCAGCACACTCGGCGGAACATGGAAGTGCGCAGCCAAAAGATTTGAAGCATTCAACCAACTCCTCGAAACAATATGAATACACTCCCACGTTTCTAACGCATGGCAAATTGTCAATGCTCAGGAGGAATG